GCTCTCAACATTAATCTTTGCTAATAAAAATAATAGTTATTTGCCCCCACTGATACAGGTTATGCTAACGCTTAGCATTTTGTGCTCATAAAAATAATCTGCCGCTCGCTACAGTCCATGCTAATTCTTAGCATTTGGGGCGATATCTTGCAGAATTAACTTGCAAACCATTAGCTTCTTCCAATAGACAGGTGAAGTTCATAAAAAAAGGTTATCATGCAAATGTTTTGCATATTCTCTACACAAGGCAGACATCTGCCATTGTGAGTTAGGTATATTTCCTCATTAGGTTATAAGAAAGGTGTATTATATGGACTTTGTGTCTCCTTGAACCCTTTTTAGAATCAAGTCTTGCATTGCTGTTGTAAACACAACTCCACTCTGCATATTTCAAGATAGGACAATATCTTTTTTCAGAAGATTTCATAAGAAACGAGAATGTAGAATTCAAAACTGAATAAAATGGTCTGTGTACGAATTGTACATTGTTGTATGTTCCGTGCCTTTAAAGTATATTTTCAATATGAAACACGCTGTACATAAGGCATTAGATGTGAGTATGTTTTTCCTGTAGGCTATCATAGTTGCATCACTTTACACTTGCATCAAGCTCACTCTGGACAAAATTAAAGTCCACATTTTTAGTACACTCACTATAAACATGCGTCTCTTGACATAGTAGAGCAAGACGCTGGCGTGTTACTTCTAGTCACCATCACCACGAGTCGCATTATCTTTTTTTTCTTTATATTCCTCGCTTTCTGTTGTGATCTGGTGACTCACGCACACATGTTCCTGCTTTAGTTTTTTCTCCTCTGTTGCTTTCAGTTGACCTAGCTCCAGACAAAAGGAATGGAGGGGAGCAGAGAAATGGAATGATTGCGTAAATGGAGGGTTATTTTCAGATAGAAAAGAAACAAGAAATGCAAAAGTGAGGTGGGGAAGGGGGAAAAAAGAGCGGGGAAAAGAAGAGGCGTGGGTGAGGGGCAAGTCGATGAGACAGGAGGAGACAAGAGAATTTGACGAGGTTGGAGGCTGGAAACAAAAGGCAAACAAAAGTAATTCACAGCGATTCTGTGAAGGACTATTGCTGGAATGAATTTGTTTCTCTTTTTCTTTCATACAGTAGAAGCACTGCTTGCATTTCTACTTTTAATATTACCATTCTTCAAGTACTCTTTCTCGTATTGCTCTGCCACTTCTGCTGTCTTTCCTTCATTTTCCTTCATGTTTGTTAACTGAGTGAGAAAGCTAAGTGATGTGATGCAACATCCATGTAATGGTCTCTGTTTTTCTCTGATTTGACCATTACTTTAAGCATAAAATATGTAGTAAAATGTCTAAGAACAACTAGATGTGTATAAAGTTATGCACATATTTTATCCCAACTGTTTCCAATTTGTTTTAAACATCGAAAAATCCCCCCATAATTTTGTATATGCAATGTATCCTTTGATGGACATATTTAGTCTGTGATGTGTAAGAGTTGTGGTTTTATGTCAGAAATAGGTTTTTACACAATTTTAAGTCATATTTTTACGTAGATATTTGTCATTTTTAATTAGATGAAGGGTTATAGTCATCAAATGTCAAGTTATCAGAACACAAGCTGAGTAAACTAAAGCAGGAGTTGAATTCCTTTGGAGAAACACAGATTTTTCTGGTGATACTGCTTTACTTATGCTTGTACTGGTTTAAGTCACCGTGCGTAGGATTCACGTGGGAAGGTTGCTTACGTAGTAGAAATCCAAAAAATAGGTACAGAAATGTTCCGACATTTTCCGATTCACCAAACATTGCGTACCGGCGAGGAAAGTGCGTGCGGCACTTCCTACGCCGGTTTCCCTTTTATAAATCACAATCGTCTCGAAATGCGGTGCAGCTTTTGCGTAACGCCCATATTTGCCTATAAATAGTCAAAGAAACGCCCATTCATTCATTCATTCATTCTGACTGACTTTATGAAGAAGATCGCAGGAAATGACGATAGAACAGCTAAAAAATACTTCTCACACCGTGTCAGATTTTGGTTATTTTGGGGAGGTGGAGATAAATCATATTGTTTGGTGGATGCAGTTTGAACCAGAGTAGCAGCATGGAGGCCGGATCGTCACCAAAATAAATAAATGAGTGGTCCGAAAAAGGTTAATGACAAAAAAAATACACATAGCCTTCCTCAGGCAGTGTGTTTGCACCGGGGACAGGAGACCCCCCCTTGATGAGAAACTGTAAGAAATGATCGGGGAATCCCTCCGGAGTGGAGTCATGACGACTGGATCTGAATTATGTTTTTGTATTTGGTGGTTTGTGTCCCAGCACTGAGGAGTCGCAAACAGGCGTTTGTTTAATCATTTTAAGATTGGCTTTAATCAATGTTTGAAAATGAATTCTTCATATATGATAAATGAGAGGTAACATTTTATTTATGGTATTATTTCCACATATTTCTCTCCATTCTTCCTTCTGCCAATGGTGTCGCAGTTTCTCGTCTCTCCCGTTGTTGTGCTTAGTGCGTACGCATGGGTTAGAGTTTGCGTGGAGGACCACACATTTTCCCGTCAAGTTAGTATTTTATAAATCGCAAACATTGTGTAGAAACTGGCGTACGCCATTTTTTGAGCGTATATCCCTTTATAAATGAGGCCCCTGGTCTGTTTTCTATAGATAGGAGGAGACCTCTGTGGATAATTTGGCTTCCTGTAAAAAGCTTTTGTCGTTTTAATTGAGACACCCCTTGTGGAAAATGACAGATTACGCTTTTAATAGTATATTTCCTAACCACTGTTAAATGGGATAGTTGCATTGCACACACACACACACACGTACGCACGCGTGCCCATAAGCCCTCCCTCTAACAAATGAGTTTACCGTGGTCATAACCTTCACAGAGCTCATTATCATAGATTGCAGGCCTTTTCATAAAGCGGAGACCACTGGTGACTGATTACTAGCGGGATGGACACACACACACACACACACACACACACACACACACACACACACTGTGATCCGTAATGAGACCTTATTCCGGACACCCCACCCAGCTGCCTGTAAATTACAGCCGCCACTCTGCCATACATACTTAATCAGCTAATGTTTTTTTATTCCTTTATTATTAATTTGCTCCTGTTTCTGATTTATCTAAAGCGCTCTGCATCACACCAATATTTTGTCTCCTTTACAGTTCAGAGAGGCAGAGTAGGCCGTGTGCTTATTCATGTACTTAGGGGATTGCATCTGTAATGAATGGACTGGCTGTTTAGGCATACACAACACAGCCTACTACTCACCTTAATAATGTAAGCAGGTCGTAACTCCTGCTAACCCAAGGGTATATAAGGCATGCATATACACACACACACACACACACACACACATTTGCACACCCAAACAGCCTACCTGAATTAGCCGCTGACCTCTGCTTATGCCAGGTCTTCTCGCTGTCACATTGCAGCTGCATTGGAATATGAATGCTTTCTGATTGGAGGAGAAAATCTGGTGTGTCTTTTGTGTGTTTGTTTGACTGTTTTTTTTGTATGTTGTTTAGTACACATGTATTTAAGCCCACCTTATTTTAATAAGCAACGGTACACCATAAAATCCTTTAAAAAGAAACAACATTTTAGTGCTTAACATTTTTTTTCTCCAAATAAAATCTTTTGTTAGGTTGATGCGCTTGATTTGGGTTTTGTTGCTTGCAAACGATGCGTAACGTGAAGGATAATTGGAGAGTAGAGTGCTGGTGTTGTCAGAAAGCATTAATTAGCGTCATCTAAAATATTTTATCTTTGCTTAACATATAACATGTGCCTAAAAATAGCAAGTTATTCACACAGCAGATATAAAGGTAGTCTGTCTTTCTGCAGCATGCATTACATTTTAACTTCACACAACATACATAAGATACATTTCAACTTTCCATGTGGTTGGGTTTCGGTTAATGGTCCACTACCCCATATTCTGCAGTCACATAAACTCAAATTTGCACACATACCATTACTTAACACTAGCGTATGCATAATTGAAACACACGCTTATATTTAACACACACACACACACACACACACACACACACACACACACACACACACACACACACACACACACACACACACACACACACACACACACACACACAGAGGACTGTGTTGACCTGTGAGTCATTGCTCTCGGCATTGATTTCCTTTTCCCAGAGTGACCCCTGTCACCACAGCAATAGAGTGGCCGATATTTCACCAGAACTGCTGGGTCTCTCTCTCACGCCCCCCCCCCCCATCTCTTTCTCTAAGTCTGACTCTTTATCTCTCTGTACTTCCCACTAACTCCCTCCACACATCTCCTAATTTGTTCTCCAATAATAATCCTGATAGTAATCAAAAAGCTGGGTGACAGGAATTGTAAGGCTTAATTCATTTTGTAACATTATCTTATGTACAGTAACAGTATGAATTGACCTTACAAAACCAACATTGTGACCTATATTTTTCACATCTCCTCCACTAACCAACGTTCAGTCACAAAGAAACACAGAGTTATTCAGTACCACAAAATGAACAGTAGTCTCCGTGTGTTTAAGTATGCTCATGTACTCTTTTATCTATGAACTCAACTTCCTCTTCAATTCAATGGCCTTCTTTCAGAGCGAGTGACTTCCTGTGCCACTATTGCGTCAAATGCTTTTATCCCCCAAACAGGACAGCTATATTAAGTCATTAGAGTAATCATCATTATTTTAGATTATTTTCCTCTTTATTTGATTTTGTCAAATTAATTAGATTTGTGTTCCGTTTTGAAAAAGAGGAAAGCAGACTTTTCCCTTGAATTAATAGTTTTTTCAGTCTCAAACTGAAATGGAGACCTTGTCTTTTGCTGCCATGGTCTTTAAGATGCTTCCAGTTGAACATTTCTTAATCTCCTCATGTCTGTGACTAATGAATAATAATTGCTGTACATGCCCCATGTGACTCAATAATGTGGATGTAATTTCATATCTCCCCCAGGTGTCTGAGGCTGATCTGAGGACTTTGTTTCTGGATGAGCTTGTTGGACCTGCGGCTAACATCCCACACAGGTATGTGTAGTTACAGCCACACTCAGATTCCCCCTCATCAACAAGGGTTTTTTCCCCAGGTAAAAGTTTACCCTTGACTAAAATGACTTATAACTTCTTAAGAATAACTTTATGAATCGCTCACACACACATGCAGGTCCCAGTGTAGATAGAGGTAACAGAGTCGGCCTCGGGGACTCTGCCTCTCCTCGGGGGGGGTTGAGCTCCTCGGGGAGTCGCTGGAACATCACTGTCCCCCCTTGGCAATATGCAAATCCCTATATGATATTTCCCACCATGCAGAGCTCCAAGGCCCCTGAAGACTTGTTCTGTTTCTACTTTCTGGAAAGGCAGATTTTCATTCTAAGTTTTGCACATTTTGACAATGAAAGAAGCATTTTCTGAATCTAAATGCTCATCCTCATACATATGTGCCTATTCCAGATGTTTACATCCTTAGCTAGACGCCTGGACTCACCAACTGAGTCAACTTTATATATGTTGAGCTTTGGCTGGAAAGTAACTTCCTTTAGCAGCCGAGCAAACTCTGATTTTGTCATTAAAAGTATCCTGCAGAAAAAACATTGAATTCAATTTACCTTATTTTGCAACCATACACATTAACACTACTTTGATGTCTTGCACTGACAGCATTGATAATATATTGTATTATAAACCTGAATACGGTAAATGTAGTGGGGTTAAAACAATATTTGCCTCTGAGATGTAGAGTAAATGGAAATACTTTGATGAAGTACCTCACCAAAGTACTTGAGTAAATATACTTTGTTACTGTGCATCAGTAAGTGACAACATGGATAATAGTACATTTCTGTCCTAGACTACATTCTAGAAGTTGGCATTGTAAGGTTTAGTGTGATTACATGAAATAAATCAAATGCCTTGCAAACATAAAATTCCATTCAATATTGTTTTATTCAGAAGCTGTAATATGAAAAATAGGAACACAGGCGAATACGGTTAGACGTTACCAGTCAGTAGTTTGACAGCTAGCAGTGCTGCCAATTAAACTTGAGCAGGAATTGGTGGTCTGGCACAATTTGGCACAATTGAGTTTGCGGCTGCGGTTTCTTTGCCGTTCCTGCGAGAGTCACCGAAGGGCGTGATGGATCCTCCGTCAGCGTGCCGGCTGTCAGAGGCGCGGGGATTTGCATCACACCTTGAGCGTTTTAAATGGCTGCACATATTATAATAATAAAAAAAATGAAATGAGTAAATCAGGACTCATGACAGGCAGGTTGAAACAGTGGGTGAGTGTGTGTGTTTCTTGCCACCAGCGTCAACATTAAACACATCAGATTGAAGCCACCCTCCAGGGTAGCATCACTCAGCCAGGTGTGTGTGTGTGTGTGTGTGTGTAAATGTGAGCATGGTGAAACCTAAGTCTTTTATCTACTTTTCTTTTCCTCTGGTTTTTTGTTTATCTACAGATTTATTTATATATTAAAGCTGTGCAGAACACACTCTCACACACAGATTGATCTATCGATGTATTGATGTGTGAGTGGGTGTCAGTATTTTATTTTCCCACTTCCTTCCCATTGTTTAATTATTTCCCCTAGTATGATATCCTGCAGAGTTTTTCACACTTGAGTTAGTGCTGTTTTCCTTTGCCAAAAGCAGTCAAATGCTGAAAGTTAGTTAGGTAAAAAGAAAAAGCTTTGACAGAATATCCTGATTCTCATTTGGGAACAGTCGGAACTTACTTTATTTCCACTCCGGCAGTATCCCTCAGTGTAACTGTTCTAATTCAATTGAACACTTTTCTTTGTTCTGAAGTGATAAGATATTTAGGCTTAGGAGACTGGAGCTTCATTATTGCTACATTATTATTTTCCTGCTTGTTTTTCTATTGTCCAGCTGTTTATCCGACAGTCTCCGATTCTTCTCTCCCCATTTATTTTTGTATTGTTCAAGGTCTCCAGTAGATGCACATTACTTTTGATCTCTGACTCTATTTCTCCACTCGCTTTCTCTCCCTCTCTCCCATTTCTCTCTCAGGACGGGAGGAGGATATGTCTCTTTTTCTCCATATTGACTTTCCCAGGTCAGGCTCCTCTTCTCCTATTAGGCCAAGCTAACTGATCAATACGCCGGCCTGGTGGGCTGCTGTGTGGACATGCAGACAGGCAGACACAGCGGGCCGTGCCCCGGCCAAGTGCCACGCTCATTAACACACACACAGCAGGAAATATACAGTATACATACCAATCACACTCTCACAAATCACAAAATGGATTTATATATACAATTCATATTAATACAGCTGATTCTAGAAAGAATTCAAGATTCAAAGATTGTTTTTGTCATATGCACAATAGTTAGGCAAACAAATATTAAGACTCCTCCAACAGTGCAACACACATTATACTTAAGACATAAAAAGTGCAAGTCGAACAATGGTGCGAGTTAAATGCAGGAATAATCAACTATATACTTAGAATAAAAATGAACAGAAAGTTAAATGCAACTCCTACATTTCTACAATCTGTAATAAAAAAACTCACACATCTGAACACAACTAATGCCAAAATCAATCAATCAATCAATCATGTATAAATCTATAAATCGTCATGCACTTGGTTGCTTCCCTGTCAAATGTGAAGATGCAACTCCTCTCCTCCCCTGCTGTTTTCTCAGCTGGTGAGTTGTGACATCTGCAGTGCTGCATGGATAAGCAGCTGCCAGAGATGGAGGGGGGAGTGCTGTGGAAGACAATGCAGGAGAGAAGGGAAGAAGAGGGAGGGGTGCAGGGCACTGTCAACCAGCAACAGTTAGGTGTACAGCAGGGGGAGACAGGATGGTGTGTGTGTGCCCATGCACGTGTGTGTGTAAATGGCAGCGTGCCAGGCGGTGCCATCTGGCTGCTTGACAGAGCTCTTCTCATTAACAGGGGGGTTAATTGCTGTGGCAGCACCCAGGCTGTGTCAAACATCACCCTGGGGACACGGAGGCAACAGACGATCTACATGTTTGTGTACGCACACGCACAAATGAGTGTGTGTTTAAGCATTAAACACGGCACTGGGAATCTAAAAGCGCTTTCTCTACGTAAAAGTGTTAAACAGCAGCCTGCAGTAAATTAGCCGTGGCATATGAAGAGGGCAGCGGAGGGGACCCACCTGTGTCCTGTGTGGTGTGTGTGTGTGCGCCCTTGTTGTGCAAGTATGCCAGGCTACATGCATGTTTATATTATTCTTATGAATTATGTCTTGTTGCTGTAATGATGTAGAAAGAATTGGGTTTACACAGCCAATGTCTATAGCCCTGAGGGCAAACACATACAGGCACAAACACACGCACACACACACGGCAGGGGGAAGGGGTGGCAATTTGCATGTTATTACTGCATATTCATGACTAATTTGGTTAGCCTTGCCTAATAGGCCTGAGTGACAGCTTGAGATATCGAGAGTCGACTTTAATATCACACACACTCACGGTGACACACACACACATACAGACACACACCCTGCTCTCTGTCCGCACAGTAATCATAACAACACTTAGGGCTCTAAATTACAGGAATTCCCTGTTCATCTGTTGGTTTGACATTGTGTCATTTGTTTAGCACAACTGCTTTATTGTATATAACAATATGGTAAATCATATAACCTCATTTGTTACATGCATAATCATGACCTGATATGCACCCACACATGCACGCATATTCACACATTAAATCACATGAATACATTTGCATTGTGACTTGTTGCAGGTCACATTGTTTTTGTATTAATTTCCCGAAAACTAGTGAAAAAACTATAAAATGCAGCCGCTACCTATTAAATTCAGTTTCATCCATTAACGGTGCAGAAAATAGAAACTTACGTACCATTAAGTAATGCAAACTGTGCTTATTTTCTTCAATTTTTCAATCTTTGTTGACTACAAAGCTGGGTGTGTGTGCATATGTGTGTTTAATAAGAATTCTGGGCCAAGACAAAGTGATGTTCCTTATCTCAGCTAGTGAGTGTTTTCCGTCGTACACACGGCACTCTAACCATCCCACTGTGAAGGTGAAAATAAGGATGAAATTGGCTGCAGTTACTTTTCATTCAAAAACCCTCTTTCCATTTACAACTAGTTCCCATTTCAAACCATTCCTCATTTAATAATCTCTACTAAATTTGGGCTGATTTTAAGTATTTCTTCAAAGAACTGACAGGAAAATAAGTTTTGCAAATGCTAATGTATAGACCAAGCTTTCCCTCCCTTAAAAAGGCCCTAAAATAATCATGTTTTAATGCAACTGTAGAAGGTTTTATCCTGTGTAAAAGTTAAGGATTGCTATTTGTGCATATCTTTGGGGAAAGATTGTCTTTGTCCACACATTTATATACATAATAAAGGCTTCTCTGCATGCTTAGGAGTACACTCAGTTTTTGACATTCTTTTTTTAAACAGATTTTCTTAGTGAAATGCTCGGCAAAGTGATAATTCATAACAAAGGAACACTGTAGTTAGTGGAATAAGAAAAAAAAGGGAATAGATAGCGTGGCAGCACACACTCCATTCCCTTCTAGACACAGAAACAGACTGTAATCTAAAGTCAGTTTGTTCACACTCTCCTCTGTGGCTTTTACTCAATTTGACTGAAAAGTTTTTTTTTTCTTGAAGTGAAAGATTTAACTCTCAGCGCTCTCTATCCACTCACATGTCACTTTTGTCAAATCTTGCCTTTCCTTCCCTGCTTGCTGCGAACGTGTAGACACGCTTGATCAAATGTGAGTTTAACATTTTTAATCTGCGCAAAGTTTCATCAGAATAACTCATCTCAGGAGGTGTGTGTGTGTGTGTGTGTGTGTGTGTGTGTGTGTGTGTGTGTGTGTGTGTGTGTGTGTGTGTGTGTGTGTGTGTGTGTGTGTGTGTGTGTGTGTGTGTGTGTGTGTGTGTGTGTGTGTGTGTGTGTGTGTGTGTGTGTGTGTGTGTGTGTGTGTGTGTGTGTGTGTGTGTGTGTGTGTGTGTGTGTGTGTGTGTGTGTGGTGTGTGTGTGTGTGTGTGGTGTGGTGTGTGTGTGTGTGTGTGTGTGTGTGTGTGTGTGTGTGTGTGTGTGTGTGTGTGTGTGTGTGTGTGTGTGTGTGTGTGGAGAATTGTGTGATCTGTTTCCTTTTTTTCTTTCTCCTTCCATCTTGTGTGACAGCTGTCACTGGTGACTCAGAAAGGTGTCTGGGCAGAGTTAACATATTTTCACTGCCGGGATACACGCACGCACACACACACACACACACACACACACCAGCTCCAGTTGCTGTCACCTAGCACAAATTTCACCAGGCTCAGCATCTCTTTGCTTCTCTTGAATTAGATTTTTCTCATAAAGCACATATTACATTTTGTACACACCGCATGCTGTTCATATAGTGGATTGCTTATTTATATATTACTTTAGGTCAGAGAGCATTACATGAATTAATAAAGCATCTTAATTACAGTAACTGTCAAGGTTGACTTAGTTTTGTCTCATTTTAAATGCCGTAAACGAGTATCAAGAGTGGCCTTGAAAATAATGACTGTATTGAGAACATATTCAATACACATACTGGAAATGGTACCATGGAATATACTGGCAGCTTACATTGCATATAATTACAGGAAGTGACCCACCAGTACAACCTGTTTTGAATTCCCCGTTTTTTCCTGTTATTATTTGTCATTTATCTTCGTCTCTTTTCTTTCTCTGTTCTGCTCCAGCTCTGTCTCCTTGGTTCAGATCACATCGGAGTTAGAAGACTTGAAAATCCAGTTGCAAACCAAGGACATGGTCATCTGTGATCTGGAGAGGACGCTCGGAGAGAATTCGCAGCAGAGGCAAAAGGTAATCAACCAAAGATATTTCAAACTACAGGATCACTCGCCACACAAAATGTCATCAAGATATTGCCCAATCTTTTGACATCTGCCTTATTATTAAGATCCTTTAGCTTTCTTAATATTTCCTATTTCTCTAATGTAATTGAATACAGTTCATGCTATTTGGTTCAATCAAGTGTTTTTCCGTACATAAGACAGACATGAACAAAGAAACTAATTCCTATCATTTTAGCCTATTCTTTTCATAGCAGTTTTAAGACTGCCCACACAATTAAATGACTTGTTAAGGTGATTTCTCTGCAGAGTGCTTGTTATTGTTTAGAAGGCTGTCTGAGGAGTGGATATTTTCTTTTCTTTTTACGATATTGGTTTGGCAGCTGTGCTGGAAGCGCTCCATGTGCAGCCAGGTTTAACAGGAAGCCGAGGCGTGTGTGATGAATTACCGGCATATCTCAGAGCCGGGGGTAACAAACATGGCGTCGCCGGCCGGGATTAAAAGGGAGAGTTTTTTTACGGCCTTCCCACACCTCCTTACAGGGTGTCACTAAATTATACCCACCGCTGTTTTACTGTCTTCTGTGGCTTACAGTTAAGATGCACGTAAATACACACAGGCTTGCAGAAATGCACACACAAATGCGCACGCATGCATTTGTGCTTGTGGTAAACCCGGCTTGTTGGCTGTTTATGTGTGTGTTGGCTGGCTACTGCTTGTGAGTTGTCTCATTTGCACTGCAGCTAATTAGTGGTTTATGTGATTACACAGCCTAAGAGAAACAAGCGGAGTAACTGGAGCTTGTTCTGTTAATTATATTTTCAACAAATGTTGATATATCTTTTCATTCTGCCTGTGTTTCTGTTTAACTGGTACATCTGCAATGCAGATGCACGGATAGATATTTTGGCACAGACTCGTGTACACACACATTTAATAAAGATGATTGCCACAGAATCTCATCTCTGTTCGTTAGCAGTAAGCCAGTTTGTGTATAACGCAAAACATTCCCAGAATCTGACATCTATGAGGCCCAATTAAAACAAATGATACCCGCAGCAATGGAAATAAAGGCATGTATACAATGTTATCCCTTTGAATTTGTCAGTGTAGAAGGTTTTCATCTTTAATGATATGGGAATGACTAACATGGTTAAAGTGTTTCCTTTACATAACCCATGCCATTATCCTCTCTGTGACCCGGTGGCTCCTCTTTACAGTCTGACCCTGACCTGTCTCGTAAATAACAAAAAAACTGTAGAATTCAAGTAAAAAATGCTGTTTTACTTTAGCCGGACTAGCTATAAACATTTATGTCATGGTATATGACAATCTACAATAACTACTAAAAGTTGTTTAATAAAAGAGTTGAATAAATGATTACTGAATATAGATAGATAGTGAGACACATTTACTGTAAGTAAGTGTCTTCCTCTGAGATAATGTTTAACTGGTGAACTTCCTCCGGGCCCAGACACTGGAGAGCCGTGAGAGGCTGGAGCTCCTGCAGAGTGAGCTCTCATGTCTGCAGAGGATCCACAAAGACAACATGAAGGAGATCACAGAGAGAGGCGTCTGCATCACCAAACTGCAGGCGGCCTCTGAGCTGCTGCGACGACAAGAGGGCGACGACACACGCACTCAGGTGGGCACAGTGTGGAACAATGATTCAGATCTTTTACATTGTACAACAATGTTCAAATACTCCATTAGAAGTGTTGTCTTTGAACTCTGAATTGTAATCAGATGCGCCAGCCTCTCACTGCTCTCAAGTTAGATCACTTAAGCTAAATTAATTTATAACGACAACAAAAGTTAAAAGGACCTATTGGGGAACGAAATGTACCCTGACTGATATTTTATTATATTATATTCATTATATATACAGTATATGAATAATCTTGACCCGAAACAAAGCAATTAATAACACTTGTGAAATTAATGAAAGAAAATACTGCATTAGAATTGTATTAAGTACTGCAGTTCATATCGTAATTGTGTACAAGTTTGTGTCTAAAGTAAAAGCACAAATTAAGGAGTAAAATGTACCCTTTGAGTGTATTTTATTATATTTTATAACAAATGTTTTTTGAACAATCATGAACTGCAAATAAGCTAATTTGTAAATCTAACATGTGTTGTATTAGCAATCTGAAGCAGCATACAATATAAATGCTTTGAGCTGTTTAAAGGGATGTTGCCTAGCAATGGGCCTCTTGATGTCTTCATTTGAGATGAAGTGACTTGCACCTCATTTGTTTTTACATAATACAACATGTGACTGCCTTCACCTTTTTTCTGACTAGCTCTCCAAGCTGAATGAAAGAGCGAGGGAGCTTCAGGAGGAACTTAGGAGGAAAGAGGAGGAATGGAGGCAAAGAGAAAACGAGCAGAAGCTGAAATATGAAAAGCAGCATGAAGAAGCAGAGGAGAGGGGGAGGCAGGAGCAGCAGAAGAGAGAGGAGGAGTGGGTGAGGAAGGTGGATGAAGAAAGGAAGACCCATGCTCAGGCTGTTGGACAGTTGGCCAAAAAGGCAGATGTCCTGAAATCTGAGGTGAGTTGACATATGATTGTTTTAACCAAACTCCACAATGGGTTATAAGTACACTTGGCTGCATGTGATATTATTTACTTGCTTCCTTCGTTTGAATTGTTGTGTTTGAAATGATTCTCTTTCCCCCGTGAACTCAAAATATCCCCCCTTCATCCACGATTAAAAGATGACTAGAATCAATTGCAATTTTAATTGAGTTAATGTTTAGAAAAGTTTCTCCTCGTTTGAACTCAGAATATTTTCATTTTTTACTTTTTATTCTCGAGGCTCTGACTTAGACGGACAACTTTAAGTCTTATTTTTTGACGATACATTTTTCCTAATTGAGCAGTTTGTTTACTTGCAGCTCGACACAAGACAGCATATTTACACGCGCGCATGTACACGCACTTACGCAGACTTTTACAAAAAAAGAAAAACAGCAAAACACTTCACCTTAATTCAGACCTCAGACACTTTCCTCCCCCCCTCCTTCCTTCCATCCTGCCATCTCGCCACAACCGCTCCAAATTAATCTGCAAAATATTGATTTGAGGAGCAGGGTGGTGGGGGTGCACGATTGCGGCCGCATATTAATACGAACGGGCCGCTCTTCGTCTCTCCTCTATACTTTAAGATCCTCATATCTTCATAATTGATTAATGTTCCTTTGTGAAGTGGGGATGAATAATACATTAGTGGGTCTGCTGCACCCTCAGGCTGATGAGAAAATGTTTAATTTCAGTAAATGTAGCGCTGCCTCTCTCTTTCATTTTCCCTCTCTGGTTATTTGTGAGTGTTGGAGTGTGTTTGTGAGTTTTCACTCGCGAGCCAAAGACTAGAGGAGTGTTGTTGATTTGCTCCTTTCGTGTTTACTGTCGGCTCGAAGTGCATGTTAAGCATCACAAACAAAAGGCGGCATCTGCATTTGTGAATGAATAAATTGGTGGAATGAGCGCAGCATTGTTCCATTAACTCATATAACTGTTACAAGCTGTTTGCCATCAGAAGAAGAAATCAACCCTTTGGACATCTCGGCACACGTTGCGTCAGAATGCCCTGCGAACATCGGCTGCTACGGTGTCCATCGGCAATCAGCATGCACATGTTGTATAAACCCTCCTGATGGGGACAAGAGGCTCTTCAGCAGCCTGGAAAGGTGCCAGGAGGGTGGCATATGTCTGTCGCTGTGACTGGCACAGGCTGGCTCTGTTTAACAATGCTAATTATGCTAAACACGTGCTAATGATGATGATTAAGGGGTTTAAGAGCTACAGTATGGCATGTTGCGTGTGAAAGGGTGGGGTGTCTGGCACCTGATGGTGAGCATCTGTGGGTAGAATAAATAAATGAAGCGCACACGCACATGCACACACACACACACACACACACACACACACACACACACACACACACACACACACACACAGACACCCACAGGTCTCTCTTCATGCCTACTTAGCCTCGCTTCATTTTCATTTTGAACTTGTGCCAATGATGATCTATACACAGGCACAGCTTCATCCATACACACTGAGCGCTAATTGAATAAATAATTTGTATCCGTTAACAAGCAGCCTAATTAGTTATGCTAATCAGCCTAGATAACCCAATTAACCTCATAGAGTGTGTGTTTATGTGTGGGTGTGGATTTCTCTGCCTGAGAGCATATCAGAGACACTTAAGAAAACACATTTGCCTAATTAATTCTCAATGACATAATCAAGCATTTATGTTTTTTTTCATGACTTTATTGTTTTACTTTTGAATGCCAGATAATAGTCTTTCCACACCAAAGGAATACATGGGATTCATGTTAACGGTGTTTTCCACAGAGGATAAATGCCTTTATACACATTTCTGTTTGCCTTCTGCCAGTTAGATCCACATGCACATGTATATTTTTACAATTATTATGGTAGTTTAAACGGAGTGTATATTTTTTCAGGGAATGTCTGCCTGTTCCATTAGTTTATGTCCTTGGAAATACAATTTGGCCTCAAGTTCTCTCCGTTTATTTAAAACCTTCAGTCAGCGTTCCCATCCTAATAGTGAGCTGTGTTTCCTCTCGTTTAGCTTCACCACTCATTATCCGGGCCATGTGGAAGAGACAGTGTTTAGAGAGGAGAGGGGGAGAGAGAGAGAGAGAGAGGGAGGGGGAAAATGAGAAAACGCCAGCTCAAAGCCCAAAGATAGAGGGAATGAATGAGTGACTGAAAGAGAAAGAATGTAGATTTTCTTTGAACCTGACCACAGCTCCTTGTGCTTCTAATGAATGCTGGGAAGCTAAGGGAGGGAGACACCCAGACAAGACTGTCTTTGTTGTGCCTGTGCGAGAGAGAGAGTCACACACAGATAGACATACAGAGAGAGAACACAACAGATTTATGTCTTACAGGAAGTCTCCCAGATTTGTGGTGTCGCACAACCGCCTACCCGAGTCAACTCCATGCTCTGGCTTTTAATCAACAGTCAGTCTAAGTTCATGCGTACACACACTTGTATTTACTGGGTATTCATGTTCATGGGTGTATCTGTTTGGCTCTCTGGCATGGTTCTCTGCACCTGTGTTTACATAGGTGCGCCAGTGTTTGCATATTCTTCAATTAAAACATAACCTCAGAATGTTTTGACATGATAATAAGAGTTACAAAGTGTGTCGAACAAGTCTTACAGTCACCTATACATACATTCATTTGGATTACCTTTTTTTATTATTATTTTAATTATTTTAAACAGTTTAAGGCATAAATACTGAAATGATATGACCTGGGGCCACTTTTGCAAAATGGCAGGAAGCCACAGGCTCAATAAACAAATATGTATAATATTTTGTAAGATAAACACTTTTTTGGGGGAAATTCCTAATTTTCTAATTAAACTTTTTCTAATCATAGCTCTATTATTCTGTTTGGACATTTGTATTTGCAATGTAGCACCTCATTCACACTAAAAGCACAACAAAAATATGCCACCCTCCGACCAAATTTGGCCCATGGGTCGTAAATGAGGTATCACTGGTTTAATGGCTACCTTCAAAATTGCCTTATGGTGTTTTAAAAAACGACTGAAGTATTAAATGCTCTCCCGACATTAGCATGAGGTCATGGCACCTTCGCTAATGTGCTAATGGGAATTCACAGTAGTGAGCTAAACTGTGCGGCTTACCGTCCAAAGCCTGCACTTTTGTAATGGGAAGACCAAACACTGGATGCAGCGCAGGTCTCCAACAGGGGTGAGATGCTAATATTAGCTCGTGCTCACATTAGCTGAGTCATCTTCTCTGTGTCCTTCGCTTATTATCTGATTTAAGACTGATTAGATTAGCCTTGAAAGAGCGTGCACGCATACACACACACACACACACACCACATTTAAATATCAAAATGGAATTGCTTGACCAGTGAAAACTAGATTAATTCAAAAATGTTTGCATCAAGGTGCGGGGAAAAGCGATGACTGTGCATATTTCTAATGCACCTTGCAGCAGTTAAAGCCATTTATGACATTATCTAAAGCTCATGTTATGCAAACACATTTTTCAAGTCAAAGCCACTTATGATGAGGATACGTGATGCTCCTTTTTTTCTCCTCTGCCTTGATTTGACTTCACGAGATCATCAGCATAGGTATTGATTTTGCACTCCATTTGGTGGAGTTTTATAAGCTAAAAAGTGTATTACCTATAATAACATGCAGTAACAGTATAATGATGTTGAGCTCTGTTGCACTACTGTGTGTGCATGCCATGTGCTTTTCATCACAGATATGTAAATGGGGTTTAGGTAAGAGATTAAAAGAAAATGTTTGTTTTGTACAGTACATGGACACAGTGTTCATCCATTTAGCACAGTGCTGTTACTTCAGCCCCCACCTTCATCAAGCTGTGTCAAGGTTATGCAAACAGATTGGCCGTTGCTCTGCTCCCAACAAATGCCACAAATAGCTTTTCTTCTCTAGTCTCCAGAAACTGTCAAGAGAATGCTACTGGGTCAAATCTCCTGACAGCCTAACAGCGTGCTGGGTGATGTAAGTTTGGCCTAGAAACCTCCCACATCTTTATTCTTCCTTTGAGAAATAATTTTCTATTATGTCATTGTTGTGCACTCCTGTTTCCTTCTTTTTGAATGTGTTGCTCCGTTCTACTTTGAGCCATTTGATCAGCTCAGAACGCGGCGTTACACTTTTAGATAGTTGTTGTGGTAAACAAGAGGACGTTGTCTCGCTGTCTTATAGAGTTTGAAAGCGGAGTGCCAATTTTACTTGAGACTTTTTCATGTTGGATGTAAGGAAGTACTCAGCCACTGTAAAAATGTGTACGTTCCTGTGTGCTCATGCTCAAGACTGTTTGCTTCCTCTCTTTATGCGTGTGTCTGTGACAGTCTCCTCTCAAGATGTTAATTCCTCTCCTCCCCGTTGTTGTCATGCTAACACCAGCAGTGTCTGCACCAGGGAGACGAAGACATATTGGTGTTAATGAAAAGCCCTCCTAAACTCTCCTCTCCGCATGAATGTTTAAACATGCTTGTCATAACATTCATTCGCTCACACATGACAGCTAGCATCTGCAGCTGCCTTGCTCGCCCTCAATATTTTATCATACCATCTCCCCTAACCCCAGACTAGCACAATGGCTGTGTGTTGGAAAACGGAATTATAATGACTGAAAACAGGCCGTGTACAGACTCACTACCAGCACAGGCCATACATAATGTATTCAGCAACACCACAGGCTTCATAATGGTTCAATTAGTCAATCTTAAATAAGAAAGAAAGGCCAAATGGTGGAAATGTGGAGATACATAGACATAAGAAGTAGAAGGGGATAAACAAAGAAGATGAAAGAAACACAGAAGAAAAACATAACAAAAAAGAAAAGGGGATAGTTTTTCAAATATTGTGAAGAGAAGACATAAAAGGAAGACAAATCCTCATATCAATGTACCTACAAGCTTGAAACCTGCCAACGTTTTTATTTATTTAGTTCTATTTGGATACGTTTTAGTGCATCGTTGACCTTATTCACCTTAATAGTACAACATAATGCTTGTTATTGCAAATTAAGAAAATGACGGTTTGGTCTCCTGGCACCATAGGCCTCACAATGGTTCAATCATTCCGTCTTAAAACTAAATATGATAATTATAAAAGGTTGAAAGATGGAAATGCACCAAAACATTGACAGAAAAGAGAAGGAGATGTACAAACTACATAGAAAGAAAGAACGATAACCTACAAAGAGAAATACAAGGTTTGTGAAGAAAGAAAATAATACATTGGGAAAGGAAAGATAAATCCTCATGTCCATGTACAATTTTCTATTCAGAAGTCCCACAACACTGCAGGTCAGCAGTTGTGACCTTGGTGGTTTTGACAGAAGTGGTTCACCATGGTAACGGTCGGTCGAACTTCCCCGCACCCCTCGTCACTCCCCAACCTTCCTCGCTGCCTGTCCTCTCATTTGATTGGACGCACAATTGAAATGTCATGCCTCAGAAACACACATGCACACACACCAGATCAACCAGACTGAAACAAGACAACATGAGAGAAACCAGAGACAAATGTAACACTCAGAGGGGAGAAAGCTTCACTTATATCTCTCTTCAGAAAAAATAGCCCTAAATATGTGAGTGTTTATCTAAACTCATAGTTAAACCTTGTGTGGTGGACATAGGCACAGAGCATCAAAGCAGGGAGGCTTGTCATAGCAGCTGAATACAGAATCAAATGAATATTAATGCGGAACCAATTACCTCAGGGAAATGTTTTCTGTAGGTTAGCTTGGCTAACACACGTGTCTCACCTTTAGCAAAGTGGAAGCAGTGGGGGGGGGGGGGAAGCCTGGAGGCTGGACAGCGCTGATGTATTCGTTTTCCTCCTAACAAGCTTGTCTACCCCTTATAAAATAGAATTGTCCACCCCTCCGCTCTCCTTATTTCACCTAGATGCAAACTGCGTATAAAGAAAATGAATTATGGAGAGAATAAATGATACAATTCTTCGACAATGCCTATGGCTAAGAGGAAGTTAATATTGTCTGACCACGTTGTTTGTTTGCCAAGATTTCATAAGCGGCATTTATAAATGTTTTGCTACAATATTGGTTAAAGGTGTTTTTTTCTATATCAGGCTTGGTTAAATAATAGAACTTCACATAAGCAAATAAACAAAAATGCGCTTTTTAAGGTATAGAAGCACATTTTCATTCACTCACCTTTCCCTGTGTGCAGCAGTTTTGAGTTTGTGTAGTGTGACCCTGTTGTTGTGTGAGCAGCTTAGTGGAGTGCAGCACTGATCTGTTCGGGTCTCTAGCTGCTGCCGATCTGCATAAGTGACTGTGGCACACTTAAAGCTGCTGGCTCCTTTAAGCCCCTTCTAAATCAGTGTTAAAGCCTTGATAATAGACCTCACTGGCCAATTGATTGGCCTTCATATGTTTACAGCTCACTTTAATTGCCTCAAAAATACAATTTATCAGCCATGTGTGTCCATGTTTGCATGTATGTGTGTGTGCAAGCATGCCTGTCCATCGACAAAAAGGCCTATTGATTTATCAGCATCTGGATTTGTCCCGTTCACCGTACATAAAACCCCTGCGTATGTGCTGTTCAGAATGGGAAATGGCCCCATCGATTCCCTTAAGTTGAAGCCCAAATGCTAAAGATTTTTGGATAAGCTTTCTCATTATTTAAGCTGAAATCAATAGGGGAGAGCACGGGTCTAATGAATGAACGGGCCACAGATCAGATGGGGTGTGCTCATCCCTGGCCTGTCCTGGTCGATCTGCGTGGGGAGTGTGTGTGTGAAAGAGAGAGAGAGACAGGAAGAAAGAGAAAGAACCCTTTTTCTTTAGGTACTTACAAAAAACCACAGCATAAGTCCACCTGTGTCTTTATTTATTTCCCTTTATATGCCCCATGTTCAGTTACTTAACTTGTATGTGTTCCACATTGGTGTAGCAGAGTTATTCTTCTCATTATTCTCATTGAGCCATTTCCCACCCTTGTCTCTGTAGTCGGCGGTCAGCAGGAAGCAGGTGGAGCGGCAGCAGAAGGAGCTGTCAGGGTCCCGTCAGAAGGAGGAGGCGCTTCTCTCTGAGGTATGGAAAACACAACAAAAAAACATTCCTTGCATTCATGTGTGTCCCTGTCATCCTCATTTAGCTGTGGTTTCCCCTCTCACCCTTAGCTTGACTCCTCCGCCTGAAAGGAATTATAAATGCAATGAAAATTCATCATCTGGCCTCAAAAGGCTCATTTTCCCCAGGGGGATCAGTGTAGTTTGATCTTATCTTTTTTGCTTAGAACACATCCAAGGGGAGAATAAATTACTAAACCAACACAACCGAAATACCTACTGCAAGTGATCATGGATTGAAAGAAAAATTACATACATTACCCCATTCAAGTCTAGATTGAACATTCATTTGCATGGGAATATAAGATGTCGTGCGGCAGTGAAACCAAAAATGGTATGCAAACACACACCAACTAACCCTCCCAACAACGCTGGCTGACTTTTTGGTTTTTCCACTTTTCATTCTTTCCATTCTTCTGAAATAGCAAATGATACAGAGTGGTGTGTGTCTGGGAAATTCAATTGTCATTTGCCCAGCGTTCAAAAACTGCCTTTTAGATTATACTTACAAGGAAACAGCAAAGAGTTTCATTGTGTTTTAACTCATGGAATCAACTGCAGTAATAAGACATATTAGCCTGAAGCCATTTAAAGTCGACAATAAATCGATGAACTTTTCTTATTATTTGTGGTATTATTTCATACCACAAACGTTTGTAGTTTGAGTTTGAGTTTGAGTTTTTGCCTCCTGGCTATACAAAAAATAATTTTTTTCAAAATATGACTATTCTGAATTTGTAAACACAACACTCCTTACAAGGCTGCGAACAGGAGTATTAGTGGAATATTCCTTTTCATTACAGTAACAGCTTAGTATGACTTTTGTCTTTTTTTGGAATGAAGGAAAATAACTATATTTTGCGCATGTCAACTTAGACAATGAGTAATTTGTCAGTGAATGTTATAATATAAATAATACATTATAACAATATATCTCTGTCAAGTCCAATTTTCAAACTCCCTGTCCCTTCCCCTCACTCCCTTCGAAAGTGTCCCGCCTTTTTCCTCCTCATAAATATGGAAGGCAAAAGATGATGAGATTCACGGACAAGAAAGGAATCAAAATCTATTGTTGCGTGTCCTTTTCCCCGTGTAAAGTTTGGATTAAATGTCACACATTAGCATGTGAACTTTTAAATGAGCTTGTTTGCTCTCCGCGGTGTGGGGCATGTAAATACCCATCCTGAGTATGGAATGGGGGATTGCTTAGCGGGAGCTGGGGGTTCACAAGAATTGGGAAGTGTAGGACACATTTGAGTGTGGCACCGGCAATTAGGGCCGTAGCGAGGGACCGGAGGACCAAACAGCTCTATTGACAGGCAGCGTCTGCAGCTCCACACCTGAAGTGGCAGCGAGTGGGAGGCGGGAAGGCTCCCTTATGGCTGCTACTTCTGGTGATTTGAGGGAAGATGATTGACAGGCACTCCCAAAATGAGATGATTGACATGCACTGTCACTATGAATCTACTTATGGGCAACTTCAGGTGTGAGTGGAAAGAAAAGTGTGTGAGTGTGTGTAAATACGCATGGGTATCGGGACATTATAGTAGTGTTTAGCTCTGAGTAAGGCAGGGCTATGTATTGATACTATATCAATATTGTGGTACTAGTGGTGTGAGACTAGTTATTGTCCTAGATTTTAAATGCCATAAATATCGTTTTTTCTAGGTTTTAAAGGCTGCATTACAGTACTGGTGGTTCATTTCAGAATTCACCAGACTCTCTTAGTTTTTCCTTAATTAACCTTTACCCGCTTAGTTAATATATCAACATTTATCTTGATTTTTTATCAAAATTCTCAATGTGATATATCTCAATATATGCCTCGTCCTTGCTAGATGTTGACCATCAAAGATTACACATATCAAGTGCTTAAAATGTAATTTACTCTACCTATAAAAACACAAGCATACATCAAGATTACAGATTCTGAATGTGTCCATAAAGTTTAAATAAGTCATGCAGAATCGTATATTTCGGACTCCACATGATGGTATGAATGTGTGTGCATGTGTGTGTTGTGTAGGATATTTAAAACTAACCAAACCCCATCTTGTTTTCATTGACTCTGATTCCCTTTGTTTTAAAATGCGAGGCTGCTTATTTATCGACGTAATTTCCTCTCAGTGAAGGGCTTGTGTCTGTAAAACACATTAAAATCATAATGCAATCTTTGCTAACCCAGGAGCAACGTTATTGTTCTATTATACTCTCCGAACAACAGCACCCCGGCCTGTTTATCAATCGAATATCTCATAATGTGCTCTCTGCTTGGTCATTTTGAATATAAAAGATCTCACACTGTTATTGTACCGTATTTCCTATACTTAGTATCAATCTCTTGTTCTGACACGGATCTGACACATCCAATATGATATTTGATTAGTTGTTGTTTTGTTGTTGTTTTTTTTATAGTCTCCAGGTGATATTGGCTACATGTGCAGAGGTGGTATTATGTTGGCTGTTTCATCTGGATATAAAAATGATTTAGTGTGTACTCAGCACGCAGTGTCATTGACTAGCTTTAATTTCACTGCAAGGGTGGACTTTATTACTCTGCTACTCTCCGGAAGTGTCTGTGTGTGTGTGTGTGTGTGTGTGTGTGTGTGTGTGTCAGAGAGGGAATGAATGTTTCTGTGCATGTGTTTTTCATGCCACACCTTTATACACGCTTGTGCATATGTCTGTATATCTCTCCCGGCCTGCATCTTCAGCACATAATTGCCATGCAGTGTATGAATCATCTGTACCAGCACGTGGAGCAGCTCTCACACTCTGGACAAACCGGTGGTCCCGGTCCGAGAAACAGAGGGGCTCCACTTTGCCATGACAAACCTTACTTTTGATCAAATGCTACAGAGCCATAATCATGTTTGTGCCACTGAATTCTTTAACCTTTTCATGACCCCGCTGAATGCCAGTGGCCCAATCACTGAACCTAATTGAATCTGCTCGGCGGCGCCCCCCCCGACTGATGAAAAAATAAAATTGGAGGTGAAAAATGAATACAGCAGCAGAGAGAGGGAGGGGATGCTGGTGGTGGTGAAGGAGTGGGGGGGGGGGTCGTACTACAGATTTATAAATACACAGATGTGCTCACAAATGTGTGTACACACACACACACACACCTTTTTCAATCCTGCAGGAGAGTGGGGAATGAGAGGAGGGAGAAAGAGTAGGAGAGGCTGGGCCCTGGTTTCTCATTACCCCCCCGGCCCATTCGGAGGATATTCCTATAAGATAATCTGATTTATTTGCAATTTTCCTTTAAGCGGCTTAGTGTTTACCTCCAAGATTAATATATTTCTCTGTTATTAATATCAGACTGTAATTAGGAGTGATGTGCCTCGCTCTGTGCAGTTTCGTGGCCGCCAGGCAGCGCGCTGGATGAAACTCTCGCTGCGACTCTGTGATCCCCTTTCACAAAACAAAAAAAAAAGAGAAGGAAGTTTTAAAAGGAGGAAAGACGCTGCAGGCTGGGGATGTAGAATTACAATCGCAGCGTACCTGCCTTTGTGTCTGTCTACGGCTGTGTGCATGCGGGAAGGTACCAATATGGGAGTGTGTATTTTTCCAGTATATGTGCATGTGTGTGTGTGACAGTGTGATGGTCCCCTCTGATTGATAAGGTGTCTGTGCAGGCTGCAGATTGCTCTTGCTGATTGCTTCTGAGAGCTCCAGCTGATTTATAATCAGAGCAGGATGAAGGATTGAGCCGTGGATTGCTTATCTGTTTAGCCCCCTCACAACATAAACTGACAAATTATCATGTTGAACACACACACACACACACACACACACACACACACACACGCACACATGGACACGCATGCGGAAAAAAACGTAATAACGTGGACCTCCTTATTAAACCCACCCAAACACCGTCATACACACACACACACTCTGGCCATACAGAACATAGGCGGGGTTATTCATCAGCACAGTCATATTTTCATGATTGCAAGAGTCAGTCTGATTTGTTTACATGTCAGTATGAGAATATGTATGAGTACGAGTATATAGGTCAAGTTAAGTTGCAATTAACTTGTTTAACGCACTTAGAGTTTTGATTTGCTCCATAATCAGGATCATAATCAAAATACTTTATTCATCCCCAGGGAAATTGAGTTGTGTTGCACGAATGAATGAATAAGATAAAAGAAAACCATATATTTTAAACAACATAAGAAGTTAAAGTAATAATATCTTTATAATAATAATATATCATATTTTTATAAAAACATAAGATTATAAGTAAAATGTCCAATGAAATATAATAAAAAATAATATAAATATTTCTGTAAACATAAGAAGTCAAATGTATAATAAAAGAAAAATAAATATAATAATAATATTTAAATTAACATACAAAGTTAAAGTAAGAATGTGCGATAAAGATATTCAAATAAACATTACAAATTAAAGTAAAATGTCCAATAATAAAACAAAAAAATCTAATAAATCTAATTATATAAAAACAATACGTGGGATTCTGTACCTTGATAAGTATGTGGAAGTGGACTCATGTCCCTCAAATCTGCACTTTTAGTAGAGTGGTTAAAACGCTTCAGACAGAACAACACAAACAAATTAATTACTGTGTGTGATTCTGTTTGATATCGTATAACTTAGGTAGGTGTTTCTGGATTTCGATAAAGAGGCTGGCATATTATGTGAGACTAATTCCGCTTGGCAAACCACAGAACAAGCCAGCAGGTTTAAATGCTGACAGGTTTAGTATGCCCTATGGCACTGTGACAGCTCTGTGTGTGTGTGTGTGTGTGTGTGTGTGTGTGTGTGTGTGTGTGTGTGTGTGTGTGTGTGTGTGTGTGTGTGTGTGTTTCTCAGTCTCCACATCTTTCTGTCTTTCTATCTTCTTTCTCTTCCTTCCCTGTTACTTTCTCTCTTTTCACCACAGTTGTTTGTAAATGCACAGTGACAGGATCACAAAAGAAGCACAATAACACAAAGTACAGGAGCACTTGGCATCAGTTACACACACACACACACACACACACACACACACACACACACACACACACACACACACACACACACACACACACACACACACACACACACACTGACGAATGGCAGCAATTAGATGGGGAAACCAAGCATGTGAGGACAGAGGAGCGCTGAGGGGCTGCAACTGCTGTATGGAACGTGTGTGTGTGTGTTGTTCCTGTTTGTGTGTATTTGGAATCCTTCTAATGCACCATCCATCTGTCTAAATATCAACACTGTCTAATATGCGGGTGGGGGTGCAATTTGTTTTGGGGTGTGAACATTTGCAATCAAGACCCAAATAAGAAAAGGACTGGATTACAGCAATATCAGTTTGCAAAATGAATTGCTCCTGGGACTCAAGCTGGAACAATGATTTTATATTTTGACAGCAGCCACACTTCTGTACAATAACATAAGGCAGAGGTACAGACAGAGAATGTTTTAATGTGTGTGTCCCCTTGCTCAGGTTTCACGTCAGCCTGAGTTGTTTAACCCATCGGCCTTGAGACCTTGAGTTACTTCAGTGCTTTTACTCGCTTCCCATTAGACGAATAACCTCTTTACTCACATTAGGTCACGTGCTGCCTACGTTAACCCTTTTCAGCCACAGTCCCACTTCCTGAGAGACTTTAGCATGTTAGCCATCCCATATCTATTTACATTTCCGCTGAGGATAGTACCCCAGGATCCTCAGATGATGATTTGTCTCCCCTTTCTAGTATCAGCTCACCTAGTCATGATATGATATTAAACAATGACATGTCAACACACTGTAAAACTATTTTTCATTTATTTTAGGCACATAAGCAGCTATGCACATAACAAACATTTTAAAACAAACTCATATTGCAAACACATGTGCCTTTATCCCAGACTTTACAAATGTAATGAGGCTACATGAAATCCAAACATGTGTCAGGTTTTTTTTAATCCAAGTATTCGTGTAGCGTGTGATGTGTGTGAGAGCACTTTGTGTCGTTCTGTGTTATTAACGGTCTTCATGCCAACTTTTTACTGATTTATTCTCTCCTCTGTGGGATTGTGCAGATTTTACAAGCAGGTGTGTGTAGATTTGTATTTATGACCTGTGGAGATGTGGGTTAGACACCACCGCTGATGAATTACTTCACTTCTGATTGCTCGCATCACAAATCATCCCCATATTATAACCCTTCTCATGCAAATAAGTAGGCACTGCGTATGTGCCGAGCACGGCATATAGAGAGAGAGAGAGAGAGAGAGAAAGAGAGAGAGAGAGAGAGAGACGATGAATACATGTGTAAACAAAATAATGCAAGCTGTTATTTACATATAAAATCAATGAAAAACTGTGAGTTCATATACAGTATGTACCCAATGTATAGTATCTATGTTTGGGTATTATGAATGATTAAGTATGTGTGTGTGGTAACCCTGTATCGCTGGCGAGCTCATTCCTCGCAGAAATCAAAGTTAAATGGGTCATCTATCATGAGAATATGTGACTGGGACACTTGTCTCTGCCACGATCTGAGTTTGTGTGTGTGAGCGCAAATATGCACACAAATGAAAGGTGTGTGGTGCAGGGCAGCTGGTGTGTGTGTGTGTGTGTGTGTGTGTGTGTGTGTGTGTGTGTGTGTGTGTGTGTGTGTGTGTGTGTGTGTGTGTGTGTGTGTGTGTGTGTGTGTGTGTGTGTGTGTGTGTGTGTGTGTGTGTGTGTGTGTGTGTGTGTGTGTGTGTGTGTGTGTGTGTGTGTGTGTGTGTGTGTGTGTGTGTGTGTGTGTGTGTGTGGTGTGTGTGTGTGTGTGTGTGTGTGTGTGTGTGTGTGTGTGTGTGTGTGTGTGTGTGTGTGTGTGTGTGTGTGTGTGTGTGTGTGTGTGTGTGTGTGTGTGTCCCTTGTCTTTGCCTGCGCTATGATTAATGGTTTACATTGGGCTGTTCAGCCATGCATGTTTCTTGGTTTATCGTTTTTATGCTGTCTCCAATTAAAGCTCCATAACTTGAGTGATGGCTTCACGCCATTGTCCATCAATAGAGGCCATCAGCGGCCTCATGCATTCAGGATATGGAAGCCACACACTAACTATTATCCTCTTGTGTCAGAGCTACCGGGCTGTGTATGCAAGAAAAATGCAGATGTACAGTAGGTGTGCACGCGTAGTGAAAAAAGACTTTTACTGATCCTGCCCATAACCCTAGTTGTAGTCTTTAAAGTCGTATCCTAAAATACATGGAAACAATTGTCAGTGTGGTCAAATAATACCACCTTTTTAAATGTATCTAATCAATTTCAATCATAAAGTAATTAATTGTCTTGAACAAGTGGAATCTTTTCATATAAATGGCAATTTTTCTCTTTCTTTAAAATTATGAGAAAAGCACAACTGATGGTTGTTACACAGAAATGGGTAGTCATTTTTTCTGCATTAGGTGCATGCAGAATTGTATGTCTTTGTGTCCCCATGTGTGTGTGTGTGTGTGTGCAGGACTGAGCCAGGCAGGTGATGCATACATCTGGACGTGTGAGCTCGTCCATGTGTGCACCACATGGCCGTGCACGCGCCGCGCAATATCATTTCACGCAATATTATTTCTCATATAGCTGTAATGACATTAGGCCGATATGTTGATTATACTGTCGGCAACAGCAGCCCGCTGATTGGGTTAGCATATTACCCTATATCACATCTCTCCATTCATCCCTGTGTTTTTTTTATTGCCCTCATTTTTCCAAATCACTTCCCACTTCCCCAGTTTCCTGGGCGAGGTTCCAGGCTATGCAAGCAGGTGATGTGGAGTAATACGATGATGGGAAGGCACAACAATGCAAGGGAAGAAAAAAAACGGAGAGCAGCTGTTGTTGTTTAAAGTCTGGATGTAGGACAAAGCATAATGATAGGATAGCAAAGTGTTAACTTGTGCGCAAATATAGGGGTAAATAAATATTTGATCACACTGACAATAACACAAATGAGCACACACAGGTTGTTTGTGGTTGCGTCTAGTCAGCAAGTGTTTTGAATTAGGATGAAGTAAAGGAAGGTGTGCAGATTGGTAAATTAAAACATCATGTGATTTAGTGAAGACCCAGAATTAGAAGGGGGGGGGGGGGGGGGCGGGGGTTCCAGGAGGCATAGAGATTTTTCAGAGGGGGCCACTCAGATTGTTAGATTGAATTTGCTGCTGGGACATTGAGTGATGACGTCTGTGGTGTGTGTCTGTCTGTGTGTGCATATGTGTATAGAATACTAAAACACACACATGTACATATATAAATATATTTATATATATACTAGAGTTGAACAAATTGTAAAAAAAAAACATTTCATCGTGATTATTTTCTCTGATATGCAGTTATGTTTTTTACGTCATTACTCTGATGGTTAAAGTTAGTGTGTGGACACACATTACGCATTTTAAAACGATTACACCTCCTGCGTTTTAAGAATTGCAGTATGCCATATTGCGAATGTATAGCCCTAAAATATATATAGTTCAAGCTGCAGGATTGCTTGTGTATTTCTTATGTGTGTGTCAGTTCCCTCTTTAACATCAGCCTCTAAGTGTTAGTGGCAAAAATCAAAATTGCTATAAAACACACTTCAGGAGTATAGATTTACCTCTCTTCTCCTTCTCCCTGACCAACGTGTACACACAAACATATGTACTGTCAAACACAGACTTAATTATAAACCAGCAGGAAACAAACGCCATACAAAACACCACAGGGCAATATTTATGTTCTGGTGAAACAAAGACTTGTAGGCTCTGAAGGCGGCAACATAACACTGTGGAGATAGGAAATTACACTGCAAATTACTAATGTGGTTATTCGATATGTGTACCACACGTGGATGTAATGATTTAGCCATGCATAGCGTACAGTAGGACACACAGGCAGTAAATGGAAGAAAGATAACAATAACAATAACTCACATCAGCCATCCCTAATATATAGGCTGCTACACCATGTCATGGCTATATGACACTCGGAGAAAAATGAACCGTGGTTATCTGGAAATTAAAAAAAGGGACTGATTTAATATTCAGCAGTGGCTGAAGGGGCTGGGGGAAGGGAAGGAAGGTGGACCTATGGATGGAGGGGGGTGGAGGAGATGAAGAAGGAGGAAATTAATCAGTGGTATCATCTCCATGGGAGTTTAGCTAACCAGCGACCTCAGCGCTTTAGTCAGCCAATGGGGGAGCTTCTAATGGAGCTGCTGCCATAACAAACCAAACACACCAAATTGCCATGCATATACATTTACAAACACACATAAACATCACGCCCTGTGACATCAGAAGTCCCACTCTATGATTGTGTGTGATCCATGTGTGCCCACCCACACTGTATATGTACTGTACAGGTAATACCTGTATTGTCTATATTGTGTGTGTGTAGAATTTCAAGTCATGGCAGCATTCTCGACAATCAGTGTCTAATTTCTTTCTATTGCAATTTTGTCTTCTTATGAGGATAATTCCACGCATTGTCAATCAGAATTTGATTCATTGTCATTTTTCCCAATAGAGGAGCTTGAGTGACTACAATACACATGTCACTGCTTTGTCTACAGTTGATGACGGTGAATGAATATTAACCCATGACTGTGTTACAGGCCGAGGCCAAAATGGAGTCTTTAAGGGGCGGGCTTGGCGCTTTATTTGAGAGACGGATGGAGGAGAAAGAGGAAATAAATAACCACCTAACTGAAGAGCTGAATACAGCAAGACTAAAGGTAAGAAGTGTACCCAAACTACTTGTGTTTTTATATTTAGCTAAAAGACAGGGTTATTTTCCACATTTACAGTTAAACATTTTTTAATACATCTATCCTGACGGGCAAAATCATTATTTCTACCTGCCCAATAATATATTGTGAAAACACCCACACTGTATATTTTCAAAAAGCTTTGGAGCAAATTAAGAATTGTATTGCGTGTGTAGCTTTGGATAACATTACTGGTTGACCCCTGGGATTCTGTTTTAAGTATGCTTCAATACGTTTTCCACCCACTTGTTTTATGCCCTTTCAATTATACAGATTACCAAAGCAGCTCGAGCTTATTGAGCTGTACTTTGGATTCAAAGGCACAGCGGCCCATTGAGGCACAAGCACCGAGTGAAACACACACGCAAACACACAAGTACACACGGCCGGATGATATGCATATCATTACGCTTTTGATCGAATGCCAAAGTTTCGCTGAGAAAGACATCAGAGTCAAATGGAGCGTGCATGTACACAACACCTGTAGTGTGTGTGTGTGTGTGTGTGTGTGTGTGTGTGGCAGCTGTGAAATCTGCACCTGTTTAATTGAATTAGCCTCGTTAATGTATTCACACCGGCTGCCAAAAAAGCACGCCCTTAACGAGCTCATTAGACCAATTTGTTAATTAATTGTCTGTATAGCAGAGGCTTCCAAAAGAGCTGCGTCTTCATTATCTGATGCCAGGCGCCTGTTGGATCATTGAATGAGAGCTGATAATGCATTGCTGTCACACGGTGTGTGTGTGTGTGTGTGTGTGTGTGTGTGTGTGTGTGTGTGTGTGTGTGTGTGTGTGTGTGTGTGTGTGTGTGTGTGTGTGTGTGTGTGTGTGTGTGTGTGTGTGTGTGTGTGTGTGTGTGTGTGTGTGTGTGTGTGTGTGTGTGTGTGTGTGTGTGTGTGTGTGTGTGTGTGTGTGTGTGTGTGTGTGTGTGTGTGTGTGTCCTCAAATGTCACCTATATATACTCTAAGTGCAGATGCAGACACCATGTTGTGTATATGCTTTTGTCTGTCTGTGTGTGGTATGCTCGGAATATTGCGCCCAATATCAGTGTGCATATTGCTGTGAAAGGTTATGTGGGGGCCGCCACTCCCACAGGTAAAGACAGAGCAGTCTTCCTAGCCACTTTCTAATCTCTCTTTTATTAGAAGTTAATATCTCGCCTGCTCTTTCTCACTCCACACTCCCACCTGCTTAGAAATGGCCCCGCTCCATCTTTTTAATTCAATTATATTAGCCACCTTCTCTCTCTCTCTGCCCATAACTCTGCAACTCACATCTCTCACTCTCACACTCAATCTCTCTTTCTTCTTTTCGGTCTCTTCCCATCTCACCCCTCCTTATTTTGTCCTCAAATGTTCCATTTCTATTCGTAATCCTAGATGGAGGATAGACTTTCGCCAATCAAGGATTTGCGCAAGCCGTTCTCCCTTTCTCCTCTCCTCCTCCGCCTCGGTGGCTAAAAACACATGATGGCTAGGAGGAGAGGATAAAGGAAAAGGACACTTTAGGAGGAGGCGGGGGGCAGGAGCAGAGGGGAGGACCATAGGGGTGAAACTTTAATTGCTAAAGTAATGAGACTTGATCAGATCTCAATAGGGACTCTACTAATATGAAAGTCCAAGGCTTAAGCACTAATTTGAAATAAAATCACAAATCTGATATTCTGTCGCCGGGACTTCAAGCCAGGGTCTCATACTCCCCCACTGGAGAATTTAAACTCCACACAGACCACATGGGAAGTTTTAATCATCTCTGATGGTGGCAGATTTGGAGATGAGAAAAGTCTCCCGTAATGTATTCATTATGTAACAATATTAGGGAGTTCTCAAAGTCACTGGCGTAAAGACCTTGGGATATAGGAGGGATTTTCACAGACACTGTGATCTTTAACTAGCTGCCTATGGATAAATAGCAGTGACCATACAGTGAGGAGGATTGTGGAGAATGTAATCTCTTTCCCTATGTTTTGTCTGACTTTTTACTTTCCAACAAATGTCAAAAAGCCCAAAAACCCTTTTTAAAAAGAACATTGTTTCATCTCAGTATATTATTATCCTCAAAGTTGCTCAAGCTTATTTTTTTACTTATGCTTATCCCTCAAGTTTAAAAAAATATAGTGATACAGATTGATGGAAGCAATATAGGAGTTTAGTTAATATTTAAATATACAGAATATAATGTCTATTGCTTATGAAGTATTAACATAACTCATTGTCATAAGTAAGTACAATAAAACAGTTACAGTAGCTGGATTTGAGGAGATATCATTACCTTCACTTGGTTCAACAGTAATGATGATAATATTCAAAATGCATAGAATATCTGCTCCTTTCTGAATAATAATTACTTATTCATTAAGTCCCTCTGCACTATGGACGAGTTAACATACAGACTTTTACCAAACTATTGAAATGTGTTGGACCTGGTTGAAGCGCTGCAATTCACACTTATTATTGTCTCAGTCCTGTGAAACCTATTTTATTTCCCTATAGTCACACTGAACTTAGTGGCGTATCAAGATAAAAAGAGTCATTTTAATTCAGTGTTGCAATAATGGCTGCCCCATTGCTTATAATTGTTACCATCCATTAGCCATGCTCTGGATGAGTTAACTGCATAAAAGACCACCTTTAGCTCCATGTTACAATGGGTTGGATGATGTATATACTGCAGAGTGTGTGGGGGAGGCGGTGAGAGGGGGGGGGGGGGGTGGGGTATCTGAAAGTAGGAAAGACACTGTACTCTACACAACCATATGTATTGTAATATACACATTATTTAATAGTACAATGCGCACGTTTTTTATTTAAATTCTTATTTTTATACAAATAGTTGAATTTTATTTTATATTTCTTCTTATGGACATTTTCATTTGACTTCTTATATTTATTTGAATTTATTTAAGTTTTTTTTTGCATTGAACTTCTTATGTTTATTGAATTTTATTTTGTATTTATATAGTATTTATTTAATCACAAAACCCAATTTTGCTCAGGATAAAAAAAAAACATAATTCATAATTCACTCATCTTAAAGGGGACCTATCATGCAAAATGCACCTTTGTACGTCTTTTATACATGAATATGTGTCCCCGGTGTTCCAGGGAACTCACCAAGTGTCAGAAAACACAACCCTCTCTATTTTCCTCCTTAGCCAAATCTCTAAAAAGGGGCTGCAACGGATCTGAAAAAAACGGATCCAGATTTCAATTATTTTCTGCGTCACAAAGACGTGCTCCGCTTATTGGTCAACTCTCCACCTATCAGGGGAGGGGAATAAGCCACGGCCACGTGCATTGCCAAACCTCTCATTCGCATATAGGCTATCGGCAGGCTAAATCAACCCCAGTCACATCTGTGTTTTTGTCTGCTCTTGCCAGGATGTCTAAGCCAGTTAAACATTGTGCTGTTGTTGGCTGCAAGACTCGAGAAGGGGGACTGCATGCAATGCCATCAGTGGAAAAAGAAAATAATCTGTGGCTAGACTTAATTTTCAAGGGACATGTGCCAGAAGACCACGGCAGATTTATGTTGGTGTGACTGTGTTCCAAACATTTTACGACGGACATGTTTATGAACTTCTCAAGTCCAACACGGATATGCCTCCAAACTAATGCTAAACCCGGGATCAATACCAACCATCCGGGAGCAGGCCAGTGAGGACACATCCAATTTTGAAGCTGTAAGTTTTTATTTAGCGGTGTTTTCCTGATAAAGCCATCTCTAGCTTGTAGTATGTAGCATGTAGCTTCGCCGTATCAATGTCGCCTCAAACCCAAATAGTAATCGGTTAGGTGTTTATGTTTTTGTAACATTTTATATTGTACGCTCCGCAGTCTTTGCTTTGTCTTTTATTTGAATTATCAGGCATTTGCTAACATGTTCAGACATACTGCCGTAATGGCGATCTGTGTGAAGGCTGTAAAGCCACGCCCTAGCCGATAACACAAGTATTTATTCTCCTATTTATTAGTATTTTGTATCCTCTAAACTCATATTGAGTAAGTTATAATAACAAACGTAATCTTCTGTAGGTAAGTGCCGTTTTTTCCAGCGTTATATGTAAAAGCTTTTGTGATTGTAGTCTGTAAGAACGATCAGATATCCTCGATCTGTAAGCTACGCTAATGAGACATGCCGGGTTTTGCAGCGTTATATGTAAAAGCTTTTGTATGTTTACTTGTTTGCGCACATGAATATAAATGGGGGTGTGTTAGGATACAACACTGTATGTATGCGAGGGGGGACGGACACACACCACGAGTAAAACGGAGCTAAAGCCCCGTTGGTCTGTTGTTGTTGAGGCCTTACCTCTAGCAACAGGCTAATTAGTGGCTAGCACTCATTACAGTCAGTCTACTGAGCTCAGCCCCTCTCCAACACATCATCTGTATTGAGTCAGAAACACAGCATGCACGTTGCGGTTCAAAACTAACTCAGATTGGAAAAGGCTAAGCAAAGAGCTTTGCTAAATAGAGAGTTTTAAGCCCCATCTTTTGGGATTTCAGACTATATTTATCCAAATAGTATTTTCTCATCCTGAATACTAAATTGAGATGATTTTGTTCTAACTATGTTTTCTTCTTTACAGGCCAGCACCTCACATACTTACTAATTAGTGACAATTTGTACATCCTTTGCTATTATTTACATTTGTTTTTTATCATGGCGGAAATTAAAGACTGGCAACCCTGCACTACAATGAAAACGCTGAGCGTGCACAAGCCACTACATCCACTGGAAACCCTCTGTATAAACTGCAGTTCCCAAAGGCCAGGAAAGGAGAATGCAGAGCAAAACCAGTAAAGACTGACCCCACATTCCGTAAGTGTTTAAAATATTTATTATACAACTATTTACAAATATAAAATAAAAAAATTAGAAAGAACTTTCAGTTTTTTACATGCATATACTAATCTAAACCACATTTTTTGTTGTGCTTTTTTTAACATTGCACAGGCTACGTGGCCAACTTGATGGACCTCATCTTCGACCAAGTCTTTGTGGACCCTGCACCATTATGAGCGACCTGACAGGGAGGAGGTCATCGCCGGGTATGCTACACGGTTCAATTTGGCTGCTGTCTGAACCCAACATAGACATTTCGCGGATCAGGAAACTCCTGCCTCCCTGAGGACAACGCAGGCCGGAATCACCACTCTGATCCTGCGTCCAAGGAAGCCCCAGCACCAGCTCACAAAGCTTCTGTAGGCTAGATACCTGTGATGCCTGAAATCATTAAAAAATATATTTAGTGTCATTTATACAAAATACAAGTACATTTAGTTTTTTTTACGGGTTCAAAGAACCGTTGATTTTGACAATAAAGTTCCGAGTTGATATCAAATGTGTCGTGATTATTCATGTTTGGATGGGTAAAGAATATTCTGATTTCAAAAGCATAAGGTTGTGTGTGGACTTTTTTTGTCGTACACATGGGTGTGTTATGCCATTGCTGTGTAATATATAATATAATAGTACATGTACTATGACAGAATGAAAGATTGCATAAAGCCATATACACCAGTATTTATTTCCATGAACAATATTGGCATTCGTTTTACAATTTCAGTCAAAACAAACAAACCACTCACTGCTCTATTTGCCTCAACTGTAGTCCACCATGTTCAGCTCTGTAAATATTCAATGCATTCTGCAGAGAGAAAACATTCAGGCTCCATACAGGTTACAGAGTCCTCAAGTTCCTGCATCCGTCTTGACACCTAGTGTGATAAACATATATTGAATGACATGTGAAAAATGTATTCTCTAAACAGACAACTTAGTGAAGCTATCAAAAATGTTACCTGTGGTATCTCCATGCAGCACATTCTCCGTTCAGAAGGCATCGTGGCGCAATTTGCACATGTACACCTGTAGAAAGAAGTCAATAACTGAGCTTTTAAAAACACATGAAACTACACACATTGCTGACAACTGAGGTGTTGTTGGAGTTATACTTTTTATCACCCTAAGTTATTGAACTTTCCAACGGTTGCACGATGTTGGAAGAAAAGGACTGTAAACTATTAATAAACGCAATGAGGCCATTGTGTATATATGCTGAAAATATGAATGTCTCCCTTTATAAATATATATATGTATTGCTGTTTTTGCGTTACAAGCTCTAAGTTATAAACTGTACACATTGCATTCTTGCTAATTAGCCAAAATATGAACGGAATAAGTAGCAAGCATCGTAACAGAGAAAAATAAATAGCTTGTCAACTAACCATTCAGAAACGTCCTGCTGCAACCGAGATGTTTGCACCTCCACCAAAACCTCCGCTGCTTCAGGGTCAGTCTCTGGATCAAATTGATAATATGCTTGAACACATGCATTGCTCTGAGATGACATGTTTATTCCACACTCGTAATCACAGCAAGCATGGTAACGTCGCCGGCTCCCTGCAGAAGAGGGGGGCGTGGTCAGCTGCTGCTCATTTTCAAAGACAGGCTTGGAATAGAGCGAAAATGAGCGAAACGAGGCATGGCTAAAAAATGATCTGTTTGGTATTTTGAAAAATAAAATGTATAAATATACCTTATATAGGTATGGTCATACACTATATCATTTAAATATAGTACGATGGGTCTCCTTTAAATAATCAAGTCTGACAAAAATAGTGATAGCTCTTTAGGGGTGAAAGAAATATTAACACACTTTTATATTGAAATGTGACGTTTGCCTTATTTTTTTCTCATTAAAAGCGTCTTTGCGTCTAACAGACACACAATGTATCACAATATATTGAGTTGTAACCCCTCGTATCACCACATTCTTGCAGATACACAGCCGTGATGTATATATATATGTGTTTGCATGTGTGTGTAACTATGTCTGCCTCCTGCTAATCTAACACAGGACTCATATAACACAGTGCTAATGAAAAGGGGCTTTGATTTGGATGGAAGTTTTGAACCACAGGCCCACACACACTCACAGTCATGCACAGGGTGAAGAGTTCAACCTCTGTCTGCTTCCTTAGAAATAACCTCTCTTTCCCCTGATAATTACTCAAGCACTCATTCATGTACAGTCATTTGCGTGTATATAAATATTTGTTTAATTTTGTGTGCTGATGGGTAACAATTCAATTTGTGATATTGATGATAAGAGTAATTGATGTGTCAGTTTTTCTATAAATATCACATTACAATGGTTTGACTGGAGTTTGAACATTTGTCAAACTAAATATCACAGACCAGTGGACCTCACACAAACATGATGGAGTTTTTGTTCACATGGAATTATCTTTAGTACATCTGCCAACAACATGTTTGGACAGACTCCCCACTGCTGCACACAGGAGACCGTTACAAAGATGTTTGGCGCTAGATATATTCTTATACTTATCCAAGATGGTTTCAAGTGTTACAAGAATTGGAATGGTCCCTGAACAAGCAAAGAGGTGTGTAGAAGTGCACAGCTTTAATACTTAAAAGTGAAAAAAATATCAATACAGTCATAAATATGTAATCATAATGTAAAATGTATGAAAAAGCTATTAACGTTGACATGAAACCACCATTTAACTGGGTCATCTCGCCAATTATTCAGACTTAGTGACAGCTCTATTCTGCTCTCCTGAGTAGACATGGGACGATTCGAAAAGAATGTCACAATTATTCTGTCTCAAATCATTTCTATTCACGATATTTAACTTAATAATCATCAAAATATGCTTAAAACTCTCAAAATGGCTACAGCAAACTAGAATTATTAAGAAACACAATTCTTTGTTTAGCCTATCCCTTTGCTGTTAAAGTGTAAATGTCCCCGCTGTAGGGTGAAACAAGTATTTATGATTCATATTTTGATTGCATCAAATATTCTCTTGATCCTTGTTTTGACTTTCCTGTTTTATGTTGAAGATTTTACTATAGCTGCATCTCACTTCGGTTAAATGGATTCCTTGCGTCCCTCACTTACGTTGTTTCCCTGCGACTAGTCCCTCCGACCAGGGAAGCATGGAGAGACGCAAGGAAACCACGAGAAGCAGGGGAATGAGTTTTAAGAGCAATGGGACGCCGTTTCCTCCGGAGCGTCACGTGAAGCGACGTCCGTTTGTGATGGCGCCGCACAGCTGATCGTCTGACAGCAGCCAGATCAGTGCATGCGCTGCATCGTCCAATCAGTGAGCGATACACAGTAAGGCGGCGGGGCGAGTGTCTGAGGATTTCACCGGAGTATGGTCTGGTAGTTCCTCGATTATCGCTCCTCCGTTATCACTCCTCGATCCTCCGGCAAAAACAAGGCCACTGGGACGCCACTCAAGATGGCGCAGACAAACCAACTTCCGGTGGTACAGAGCCCTAGGAGCGAGGAAATGAAAAATAACCGAAGTGAGACGCACGCTGTGTGTTTCATGTCTGTTCTTAGTTCCTGGGTGTTCTCCCGCCTGCTTGATTGTCTCTCCTGGCTTTATTAGTTTCACCTGTTTCCCATCAGCCCTGCACACCTGCACTGCACACCCTCATTAGTTCTGCTTGTATTTAAGTCCTCGTTTTCTCTTAGTCTTTGTCAGGGCTTTGTATGTCGTGCAACACTTAGTGAAGCGGTTTCTCGCTGGATTACATGAAGCCAAAGGTAGTTTCTGTTAATTCTACCTGTCTCCTACATTTGAGTCCACCCTGCTCCACACAAATAAATTATAAAACAAGGTAATTCAAAATCATAAAGTCCCCTGCACAAATAAAGGATGACAACATTAAAACAAAAGCAATATTATGTGAGTCTGTTGTTTCTTACATGTTGGTTCCTTTTATATTTCATGTTTTTTGACTTCCCTAACATGATGGTTACCTAAGCTGCTTTTTCAAGTCACTCATTTGTGGACATTCATGATTATTATGATAATGTGAATTCTCCACAATCAACATCCCTTATTCTCAGACAGAATATCATAGTAATGTGAAAGGGTGCGTCCAAGCATGCTACTTTTGGGGTTTGCATAGACAGGTACGCACATGCTGCAGCAGTAGTATATATTCATACGTACATATTGTTCTGTTTTATGTGTGTGTTAGATGAAGGAGAGAGAGGAGGATGTGGTTGGACTGCGAGCCACACAGGACTCTCTGAAGGGAACCTTGGCTCTGAAGGAGAAACACACACAACAGCTGCTCCACGACAACACACAGCTCAAAGAAAGCCTGTCTTCACTGCAGAGCAAAGTATGTAACACACACACACACACACACACACACACACACACACACACACACACACACACACACACACACACACACACACACACACACACACACACACACATATGAGGGGGAGCTCTTCTTAAATAAGGAACAGAATTGGGCAACCTTTCTCTAAATCAAATCCAGTCAGGTACAAGGGGGAATTCTCCTCGTTTTTTACTTCCTTCACAGTTAATCATCCGTCCTTCTTCCCCCCCGTCCTCCGCCTTCCCCCTCTCGCCCTCTCTCCATATTTAATAACTCATCGCCACCATCTTAGCTCCGCAGAGGGTTGTACAAAAAATAACCATGTTCGTGTGAATATCACTTAGCAGAGAGAGTGGAGGATGGGTTAAATGTTTTGGTTTATTTCTTTTGTCTTTTATCTTATTCTTCCTTGCTTTCTTGTCCTTCCTATCTCATCTCCCTTGTCCAATCTCACCCTCGCCCAAAGAGAACCAATGGTAATGCATGGGAACATTAAAGAGTCATGCGCATGATGAATGGAATGGCCTTTAGGTTTCTCTCGTTGTCCTTTTCCTCTCCTTCTTATCATTTCCTCAGTCTCACTCTCACTGTATTTCTTTCTCCTTATTTTCCTCCTTCTCTCACCCCTCTAGGTATATCAGCGCCGAGCGTGGCGGTGATGTGTTTTAAGCTTAAATGAACCCATTTACTGTGTCCTTGACCAAGCTAAGTCATTCATCTGCTGGTGTTTCAGAGTTGCGGGTGCCCGGCAGCCAACTAAAGTATATTCAACATAAAGCGTGTTACTTGACTTAGAGAACACTTGAAAGACTCTCTTAGATGCCGACTCTATGCCTTTACTTTTCTAACACTAAATTAATTTCCCTGTTACCTCACTGACATCATTGATGTATTCTGGAGGAGGCAAGCAGATTGAATGCAAGCATTTTATTCTATTTTCCCATTTCTTCAAGTACTTGAGCTCACCTTGAATACTCTGTCACAGGTGTGTGTAGTCAATTGGTTTCCATGATCTTTTTCTGATCTAATGCTTGTGCATATCAGTCCATATTATTCTGACTATACAAGGAGTGACAAAGTTCAAAATTAAAGGGATAATTAACCGAGAAAATGTTGTATATCAAGTACTCATTCTGCGTTACCTTGGCTTCTTTTTCTTGCGAACCTTGACAGTGAATGAAGAATGCAAAATAAAAGAAGATTATATATTAATTAAAGTAAACGGGTATTATAAAAGTCTCATTTATAATGTTGTATGGCTATTACCTCCAACATATATTTGTCTAAAACATTATTGTTTAAAGCGTAAAGAAGTCTCAGGCATGCTACTCATTTGTGCTAATATCTTTTATGCAGGTGTGTTTTAAAAGTATGACTCAAGCTAAAAAGCAAGGTGAGTTTGTAGCAGGACAGGGAGAAAGGATTTGCATAGGATTTGCAGCATTATTTAATTGTAGTGCAGGTGGTTTAAAGAAATGTGGTTCTTTCCATGGACCAATGCTAACAATAGCATAGTGTTTCTCTTCTCTGATGTGGAGCTCAAAGGAAAAAGGACCCCTGCTCTCAGCGTGTCTTGTCCTAAGGTTTAAGATTCACTACAGTTTGTGTCCTACGACTTTATGATCTGTAGTCAAGTTGTTTTATTGGTCTTGAGTCAAAGCGATAACTGTATGGTTCCCCTGCCTGGCACAAAGCCTTTATGATGTGCCTTTCACCGCTATGGAGACAGAAGGATGACTAACTTCCCCTAAATTGCACCATCATGTCCTTCTCCTGCTTGTATCTTGTAACCGTTGTCCATTCTTCTCTTTGTGTGCCTCTCTTCCTCAGCTCTCACTGCAACTAACTGTCCCTCTCACTGCGTTTGGAGGAGGTTAGAAGCACACATACAGTACTTATTCTTCATCTTTCTGCCCTCAGTTACAAACGACAAGTGAAACCCTGGATCAAACCAGGAAGAGTCTGGACACGGAACAACAGCAGATCCAAAAGCAGTTGCACCATGCCAACAAAGCGAGGAAGCATCTGCAGCAGGAGCTAACACATGCACGTCACACCGCTGAAAAGAAGGTAATTGGTTTCTACCGAAAGGTCTTCATTCAAATATTAAACTAAATCAACGTATTTTAGTTTCAGACGAGCACATTTGACTTCCCTGTTTTCGGCCATGTATTGTTGACACCGTTACATTATCAGCAAGTTGGTTTCCTCACAAGGTCAAGAAACATTCTCTTCATAGAGTGGACAATGTCAGGAAGAAATGGTTGAACAGAATTATTCCACAGCATAGAGATGAAATATAATATTCACTTTAATGTAATGCATTGTCTTTCCCCACAATGGGGCTGATAAGAAGGGTCGTGCAGGTGACGGATTCATTTAAATATTCAATATTCAAATGTAATATTCACTGTGACAGGCATTGTCTATTCCTACAATGCTGCTGATAATAAGGTTTGAGATAATGTGTAATGGGATGTTCTGATATTTAGAGCCTTATTAAAAACACACTTTTGACGAACTTGTCATACATTTGGATTGTTCTGCAGAAATTAGATTATTTTCCCAAGCTAGGACTTACTCAAACATTGCATATGGTTTATTGCTTGTTAGACTTTTTTTATGCTCTGCCCTTTTTGTGATATACCCAAAGCATATGTTAGCGCTCAGTGGTTTTTAATTTAACCTTCAAATAACCAGGTTGGAAAGATATTTTTCACTAAGCCATCTGTGAATTTTAAGGGCTTGGATTTGTAAAAGAAAAGCAGCACACAAGATACAGTTCATGCAGTTCACTGACTTCAATTCAGAATATTTCTGCGGTTAGGGTAAGGGTCAGGATTTAGTTGGCTTTCACTGAGGCTATTGTTACAGCAGTCTCACAGTTTATAGCGTGCTCATTTATAAGACCTACATCATTTTTTGCTCATGTTATATAACAGCAAATTGGCTTTGATAAAGTAACATATTTTAATTAAACATTTTAGAGCATATATTTGACCTCTGGTGTAGTGAAATGTAATTATCCTGCATAATAGGAGCATTAAGATTTCACAAGGCTACTGTACAACCATGCAATATTGGTCAAATCCTTATTTATCGTTGTGTGTACATGGTATATAATTAGCTATACTTTATGTATGCATGCACGTGTACTGTATTTGTGTGTGTGAAGTTGTGTGTTTCATGTTTGGATTGCTGAAGCCATCAGATGGACCATTACACTCTGTCCAGGGATCTGGTTTCTGCTCCACATCTGGCCCTGCTTTATGCACCACAATGCTCCTTCTCTGATCTATTACAAGCTCGCTCTCACACACACACCCACAAACACACACACACACACACACACACACACACACACACACACACACACACACACGTACACTTCACTCCATTTTTGTACAGACCGTGGTAGAAAGAGAGTGTGCTGCTCCCTCTTGAATCTACTGTAAGTGAAGCTGAGAGAACTTTGTGCTAAGTATTTTCCTCTGCAGCGCTAAATGTCACATTAGCACAGCTGAACAAATACTGTCAACACCCTCTCTTCACATGAAATGTGCTCTGCTCATTCTCTCCCGCTCTCACTTAGGAGGAAGAATGGGAAAGCAGTTTGCTTTTGCAGAGTAATTCACTTTTCATTTGAGTTTTTACATCAAATTCAATGAAGTAGGAATGAGGAAGCATTGGTCTTACTTGAGTTCAAGGACGTTTTAGAAATCAGTGCAAAAATGTTTCTATATTTCTTTTTGTCTTCGTTATCATTGATGGCTCTCGGGATTGGATCATAAAAAAAACACTTGACCAAACACGGCATTTGATAATCAGAGCATGTACAGTCCATTAGTTAGAAAAGGAAACATTTGACAAATTCTTATATCTTCTTAATCCCTTTATTCGTCATTTATCTGTATCTTTTGACATGTTCTCCATCTCTATTCCTCTCTAACTTCACACACATTGTCGTCATGCAATGGCCACATGTTGCCGTCGTTTTAACATGTGGTTAAACTGTTCCAAACTCCCCCATTGTGGACCTTGAAAGAAGTGAAGCCATTAACATGACGAGGGGCTTTGTCTCCGAGATGATCCGCTTCATCTCAGAAAACCTAAAGTCACTTAGTTGCACGGTTCTCTGGAGGCTTCTCTTTTAAATGTGCAGGTCGTAAATGTATACAGGAGGAGGGGGAAGGAGGGATAGAGGGAGGTGTATGGATGGATTTAGTGTGAGAAACTTGGAAAGGGGAGGTTGCAGGATGTAGGGAGGAAGGGACGTTCAGATAAGGGGAGATAGCCAATGGGTTGAGATTTTAATTCATAACAGACTGATCTCTGGTCAGGAATTATTATATAGCCACTAAATGTAATTGTTGCCATTCATTTTTATTTATTTAGCCAGAATAGTTTTGTCATTTGAAGGTTAAGGACTTTACAAGTGATGGTTCACTCGGACCCAGCACAATCAATAAACCAATGTTTGATTCAGGGGCTGATCAATGATTCAAATCTGCATGAAGATGTTTTCAAAGCAAAAGAGAAGGGGAAAAAAGCATTTGTTGTTCCATTTTGTGAGAGCTTGTTCTGTTGCTCATTTTCAATTCTATGTGCTTAAGATAAGATGCAGCGTGAAAACAAGATCTGTGAATGTTAGATCAGTGTCGATGTCCAATCATTTTATTTACTGTTAACACTCCAGCACAGTGTGTCTCCCTCTGTCCCTACGGGGGGCTCCAGTTTGAAAAGTATGCACTCGTAGTTCCTCTATAAAGCGCATTATATATAATAATCCAAATGATTTGAAATTGGCAAAGGGTGGCTGAGGGCATGAAGCAAACAAAACTGTGAGGAGGCAGAGAGAGATGTACAGTGGAAGGTTGCTGAAGCCTTCAAGGTTGGACAAACATTGGTCCCACTCACAATGCTTTACAACCATCACAATGGCTTACTGGTTTGTCTCTCTTTCCCTGCTTTCCCTCTTGATCTCTCTTATTGCTCATTTCTTTTCTTGCCTTGCCACTTCTCCCTTTCATCCCCCGTCACCACCCCCCCCACCTCCGACTGTTCAAATATTATTTCTCCCCCTCCTGTCGTCCTCTCCCCCCTTATTTCTCCCTCTCTTTATCTTGTCATTGCCTGTCAGTAGGGATTCTGTCTGCGCCGAGTGTTGTGTGCGTGCCAATGTGTGAACACATTGAGACTGAGATACACTTAAGAGCTCATTGATTTAAAAATACCTTCGATATTGGAGGTCCCCTCCCGCAGATTCGTTCAGAAGCTTATCACACGGCGGAGACATCCACGTAGAGATATGCATAAACCAAAGCTCCACTCCAAAGTTTCTCCTTAAACTTTGTGATTGACCTAGTTAGCATGTCGTTTTGACAAGTTGACTGTTTTGACACGACATACGCTGGTGTTTATCAGCATTCATTTTGTCTATCACACTCTCATTGGGAATTCACACACACATACAGAGACACACTCAAAGATAAACCATGCTAAGATTTAAAAATGGCTGGTGTTTTCTTCGAGTAAGTGCCTTATATTTTTAGGGTTGAATAAAAGTTCTGGTCATTATTTAGTTTGTGTAAATGCATTCCTTTCCATCTGATTTCCACTGAATGGAACACACTGCCCAAATTATTCCTGTTCAGGGGACTACCTTTTTGAACGAGTGTGTGTTTACATGAGCACTCAGTTGTGATTTAGCCGCTACGTGCATGGCAATGTGTTTGCAGGGTTTTTTTCCTCTTCCCCTTGCCGTAGCTCAGGTTTAGTGTGTTTAGCGAGCCGGGCTGCTGACAGCCAGAGGTGAGAGGTCAAAGAGCCAAGTTAACTCCATCAATCCCCCAGGACAGTTACAAACGAGCCCTCAACTCTGGTCAAAACAATCCCTGGATCATGCAGGACAGAGAGGTGAGAGGGAGGGAGAAAGGGGAGCGGAGGGGGGGTTGACTCAGTTTGGCATGAACAACTGTGTGTATAAACAGACTCATGTATAAAAACTAGGGCTGTCAAGTTAACGCGTTAATAACGCGTTAACGCAAAAATAAATAAATAACGCCACTAATTATTTTAACGCGATTAACGCATGTGTATTTTTTTTCCTCGGCCGCCCCGTAGTTTCAGAGCGCATCGAGTTTAAAATACCATCGACAAGCTGATGCTGACAGCCCCGCTCCTGCTGCCCGCTTGCAGCAGACCACACTTCCACGCTCACCGGCAGGCACCGACTGGCTATTGGGAGGACCGGGAGGGTGTGTGTATGTGTGGCCCGAGCGAGCGAGAGAGAGACCTTACGTGCATTGTTGTTGTTAGCATCTGGTGCTAGCTAGCTGCGCTAACGGATTTAAGGAGCTGTTTAAATGAAAACAGAGGAGCGACATTTCGCCACAACTGCGCCGAGCACTTGACTTTGTGCATGCAGACAGAGAGTGGGACATTGTACGAGAAGTCAGCACACTCAGCACGGATAGTGCGCGCAACATGATTGCAGCGTCCAGGCAGCTCCGGTTCGAGCATATGCCTTGAGTTGCACATAGCTCCAACGATCACACACACACACACACACACACACACACACACACACACACACACACACACACACACACACACACACACACACACACACACACACACACACACACACACACACACACACACACACACACACACACCATTTGTATTGTATGAGAGAAGTTCCAGGTTGTTGTGTTTAATATTCATGAGAATATTTGTCATTGTTCAAATGATAATAAACATTAGCATAAAGCATATTTGTCCACTCATATGTTGATAAGAGTATTAAAAACTTGAAAAATATTCCTCTAAGGTACATTTAGAACAGATCAAAAATGTGCGATTAATTTGCGATTAATCGCGATTAACTATTTTAATCGACTGACAGCCCTAATAAAAACAAAGGAAATGCATCACATTTGTATAACACTTATGATGTGCTGTGCAAAGTAGATTGAAAAGTAATATTTATTTTACATTACATTGCATTTAGCTGACGCTTTTATCCAAAGCGACTTACAATAAGTACATTCGACCAGGAAGACACAACCTTGAAGAAAACAGAATCATATAAGTACATCAGGTTTCATAGAGCCAAACATTTCAAGTGCTACTCAACTGGCTTTAGGTAAGCCAGTCCTTTATTAGTATATAAGTGCTCTGTTAGCAGTTCTTTGTTAGTAATTCTATCGCTCGAAGTGGAGTCGAAAGAGATGAGTTTTCAGTCTGCGTCGGAAGATGTGCAGGCTTTCTGCTGTCCTGATGTCAATGGGGAGCTCATTCCACCATTTTGGAGCCAGGATAGCAAACCCACGTGTTTTTGCTGATGGGAACTTGGGTCCCCTTCGCAGCGAGGGTGCAGCGAGTCGTTTGGCTGATGCAGAGCGTAGTGCACGTGCTGGGGTATACAGTTTAACCATGTCCTGGATGTATTAATATCTTCAATTTGATCCTAAAATGAATTATGTCTTAGGTTTTTGAGTGAGACAATGCTGTGGTCCAATCCCGATGTTATTCAGTATTCACAAAAAATGTATTCACTAGTATATTAAAGCATTCCTTCGCCCTGGGTCCACACATTGTGGGTCCTCTTTTGTTGTTGTTGAGATTTCCTGGTTTTAACCTCTGAAAGCTTAAATGAAAGCCTTAGCATCTTAGCAAAAAATGTAGTCAGACAGAAATAAGTGCTTACAAAAAAATCCCCGAAACACATTAGGAACCTATTTGGCTCAAAATAGAGAAAATAGATGGATACCTGGTGCTTTTTACTGACCTCAAACAGAGGAAAACTATACAAAAAAAATCCAGACCCAGAGAACACTGGCAGAAAAAAGTCCAAATAATTTTCCCTGCAAACTTGTGAGGGATTACACCCACATAAAATGCAAGGGCGCACACACACACACACACACACACACACACACACACACACACACACACACACACACACACACACACACACACACACACACACACACACACACACACACACACACACACACACACACACACACACACAGACAGCTGAAGTGGGTAATTAGGGAAGGTCACCAAGGAAACAGACAAACACAAGCAATCGTCAAACAAATGCTGTATACTCAAGAGAAGCATAAACAGCCGATTCTCAGCATGCAGCCTCATCCACCCACCACCACCCTTACCTCAAACACAAATATGAAAACTAGACTGCAATATTTTATCTCCAGTTTTGTAAACAGTGTCATCATTTGGCCTGCTTCCAGAGGTACCGTTTGCCAATGGACACGGAGATAGCATACACAATTCCCTCAAAAGGAGCCTCAGTGTTTTCTATTTTAAAAAAAAGCGTTGTCCACAAAGCTTAAACCATGAGAAATGTGTTTTGTTTGGCAGATTCAGAAGAGGGAGATGAAGACGTGCGCGCTGGCGAAGCAGCTCTCTGAATGTCAGGAAGAGGTAAAAACAACTGCTTCATTATTCACAAAGCTGATTGAAATTTCAATGCTCGTGGTTCGTATTAATGTTAACTGTGTTAAAAGAATGATTGTTGATTCAACTATCAAATGAATGGTAACTGTCATTTTTATTTGATAATTCTAATCAAATCAATTTAATTAGGCTTTTTCTGTGTGCCCATTAGACAATGATGAGTGGGTTATGTGATCCTAGAATTATTATTTTATTATCGTTTCAAAGTGTTATATAAAGAGACCATTTTTTCCCCCTGTTCTTAATGTGGGTGATGTAAAGTACTTTATGACGGATCGAGTGGCTCCATTTTATTGCATATTTCCCAGTTGCTCCAGAAAGATATGGCTTTAGAGGAACTGTGCGAGGAGAGGGAAGAGCTGAGAGCCAAGATGGAGGACCGGAGCAGAGAGTGTGTCCACCTCCACCAGACCAAAGAGAGACTGGAGGCTGACTTGGCTCTGAGCCACGAGAAGATCCACACCTCACACCTGGAGGTCCATCTCTCTCTCTCTCTCTCTCTCTCTCTCTCTCTCTCTCTCTCTCTCTCTCTCTCTCTCTCTTCTCTCTCGTCCGTCTCACTCTCTCATCCTTGTTCTCTCTCTCTCTGTCTTCTCCGCTCTCTCTCTCTGTCTCTCTCTCCTCTCTCTGTCCCTCTCTCCTGTCTCTCTCTCTCTCTCTCGTCGTTCTCTCTCTCCTGTGTGTCCTTGTGTGTGGGTGTGTGTGTGTGTGTGTGTGTGTGTGTGTGTGTGGTGTGTGTGTGTGTGTGTGTGTGGGTGTGTGTGTGTAGTGTGTGTGTGTGTGTGTGTTGTGGTGTGTGGTTGTGTGTGTGTGTGTGTGTGTGTGTGTGTGTGTGTGTGAACATGGGCTATAATTCTAACATGTGCAATTACTGAAGTATATTCTCTGTGTGTTCAGGTTCGAAGCAGAGATCAGTTCATTCTGCAGCTAAGAGCTGAAATGAAGACAGCTGAACAGAAACATCAGAGGGAACAGGAACCGGTGTGGTGGACTTTCGTGTACATTTGCACTTTTCCTATTATTTATAAGTATTTTCATCATCAGGTCTATAAAGGCTTTCTTTCCTTGTATCTGGTTAGCGATTGATGGGTAACATTTTAGGTTGTGCCATTTCTCATTTGCATAGTTTACAAGAAATCACATAATTTCGAACTATGTGGTTTCTGATTAGAGAGTATATCTTTAGCATATACTATAGAAATGTTGGCAGATTTTCCACAATTGTTGACATTTTAAAAGCTCACCTGCCTTTTTAAGGGTAATTTATCATCTTTCGACGGTGTTACAGGGAAAGTTGGATTTGTTTTCCACTATTAGGTTTTAAATTTGTCTCAGGGCCTATATTCCATTCTAGGTAGTACTACAAGGGTTTAAACCTGTCTTACTATTTTTTGGTTTTTCCTTTCATATGCTGAGGCTAGGTTGAGCGAGCACCCCTGTGGTTTTCTTATCCAACAATGACCTGTTTTACACCCACAGACTTGCACACATCGACTCAAGGGAAGTGCCCATACCAGCATCAGTCTTCTACAGTTTGCTACCGAGCAGCTCCATTAGAGCAGTGGGAGGCGTAGCACTTTGCTCAAAGGCTCCTCGAAAGGAAAAGGGGAATCGTTACTCATTCATGTCTGCCGTGCCCGCATTTTCCCTACTGGTCCTGAGACTAAACTGGGAAACTCTCTGACTCAAGCCCTCACTTTTAGGCGGCTGCCGCCCCCTCGCTGTCTTTTCTGTCTGTCTGTGTGTGTTTGTATGCCTACATTTCATTTCCACCCTCTCCTTCGTGTGCTTAGGTGGCAGTGCTGGAGGGTGAGGTTAGACACTTGAAACACAAGGTCAGAGGACACCATGAAGAGAAGTTCCAGTTAATCGAAAAGGTCAGGGACATCGAGCGCCTCGTAGACCAAAAGGAGAAAGAACAGCAGCAGCTACATGAACAGCTGCATGATGGTCAGCAACAGGTAAGGAAGGATTCTCTCTTCTCCTCTTCACCTCCGCTCATCTCCACCTTCCCTACAGCGGGATCTATAGATCTGTTGAACTCTGACTCGGAAGCTGTGAAACAGACTCATGAGATTGTTACAAAACACCGGAGCCAGAGGAGTGTCGCGCTTCACAGCCGATTGAATCAGCACAACTCTGAGATCAGCCAAACACAGAGCAGGAGAAGGATCATGAGTCGCAGGTCAAGAAGCTGAAGGAAGTCAGCAGCACGTAGGCGCAGAGAACTCTCTTCTGGGTTCACTTGTCAATCAATGGAGCCATGATCCTACAGCAAAACAATCCATGGTGTTAATCCAACAAAAAAAGAACAATCGCATACACTTATGTGTCTGAGTGATCTAAATCACAGTAGACGATCCAGTAGTCTTTCGCCATTCCAAGAACAACAAACTGACCCGTTTACAGCAGACAAGCTTTGTTTTGCAGTCAGCTCACATATATCCCAACGTACATCATCTGAACTACCAAACAAGACAACATGAGCCCTCTGTTTGTCAACCTATCACATCCAATTGGACACAACATACATACAGAGAGAGGAAGAAAGACTGAGATATAAAAAAAGAGAGGAGAATGGAGTTATTATGAAACGTGGGTCATCTTGGGTAGTCATGTGACAGCCATGAATGCTCAAATGGCAGCCCAAATGAGGGTCAAAGCGATGTGTTTTCCATCATATTTAATGAAGGCTGTTTGTTTCTACAAAGCACAAGCTCCTGATTATGGCCATGGTGTTCCCATTAAGCCTTGTTACGAGGCCTTTCATTCAGCAACAGAAATTAAATGCTAAATCTGCCAGCAGTGTTTGAACTTTAGTAGAGAATACTTAAAAGGGAGAAAAACACCACGAAAAGCAACAGCTATGATGGGTAAAGTTGGCATATGACCCCTTTCCTGAAGTTCTCTTGTTATTTAAAATGTACCTTGGGTAACCTTGGTTAAAACATTCGCCAACACACTTGAAAAAAGTCGAGTGTACATGGGCTGAGTCAAGAGTTTTAAACAGTCCACACACGCTCGTACACCTACACAGGTTCTTCAGTTTTTCACTCTGAAGTGGAGAGTAAAAGTTGGCGGTGCCCCTCCATCCTCTTCTCTGGTTTGTGTCTCTTTCTTTTGCATGAGCAACTTTCCTACCCAGTCACGCTGCTTTCCACCCAGCGTTAGTCCTGGATGGGCCCGGCTAATCCCTAGTTAAACCGAGCCGTGGTGAACCGCTGAAACCTAACTAGTTGGCTGTCATTAGTAGTAAACCCCTGATGTTCTGATCCAGATTACAGCGGGATTAACGTGGATGAACTCAAGATGAGTGTTAGAGCAGGTTTAACTTTCTCAACCTCTCCCCCTTCAAGGTGAGCTGTGGTAGGATTCCTTGTGTAACACCGGGATTAAGCCTGGTTTCACTTCCTCGGTTTCCCTGTCATTATGAGCGAGGTTACTGTAGGGTAGCACAGAATATTGCCCCATGTTAGACAAACTAGCATTCACCTATTTACTTTTTTTCCAGCAGAATTGAATCACTATAAATCAATCCATGTTTGGATTATGAGGATGATGGATGTTGGATTTAGCCTCCTGATTTGTGCAAGCATTAATGCATCCTAATGATCAGTAACTCCACATTTGGCAGCTGTTCAGTACATTCTCTCAAGAGCACCTATACATGAAGGGAGTCAAGATGCTGGTCTCCTTTTTAAAATATAAGCGCAAAGGTTTATTCTCATGAATATTTGTGCTTCATTTCTCTGTGTTTTCTTCCAGGTCGAGACATTCAAAGGGAAGCTGAAGAAGCAGGAGGTTGAGACTGAACTTCTTCATGAGCAGCTGAGAGGAGCCAGTTTACAAGCCCAGGAGCAGAAAGAAACGGCAGCCATTTTTAGACAAAAGTACACCGCAGCAATGGAGAAGGTGCATCGGGTGCAAGGGCAGGTGGAGCATTTGGAAGAGGAACTACAGTATTCACAGCATCAGGTAGATCATAGTTCACACCGTAATACATGATATTACTTATGTTGCATTTTGATCCTCTATAAACATTTCATCCAGTTATATCTATTCATACATTGGCTACCATCTCCATGTCTTCAGTCCAGTGTAACATTCTGCCGTTCACTTTGTTTAATTGGCAGCTAAGAGATTCCAAATTGGCAACTGATTCAGTGAGAGAGGAGCTAGCCGAGATGGAGCAGCGGTACCAGGAGAAGGTCAACCAGTGGGAGAACTCGCAGGAGGCTCTGGACCAGCTGACGGATGAGCTCCAGGCCAATCAGCATCTACTGAGGGAGAGTCAACAAAAAGAGGACCATCTAAAAGGCCTGATTGGATCTATGCAGGAGCAAAAAGACGCACTCAAACAGCAAGTGAGGATAACGTGCACATTACAGTAGCATATGTAAGACAGAACAATAACACAGGCAAATGTACTCTTTTGGTATGGAGGTTGAAAGACTTTAATAGTGATTTGATGGCTATTTAATTGTCTAAATCTTAAAAACATACATAGTTATGGTCTGAAAAATAAAGCCAATGCAATTGTATTGTATCTATGAAATAATTAGCCTACTTCTAACTTGATTTAATGTCGGAGTAAACATTTCCCTGATGAGTTCATGGGCCTTCTTCATTCCAGCAGGATGTCAAATCTTGTAAATGATGTTCCTATAAAGCACGTTATGATTTATGAAATTCTGCCAATTTCAAGGTTCTTCATAAACAATCATACTACACTGTAAAAACGGGTCAATTTATATTAGTGTGCATACAAGTTAATTGTTACATTTTATACCTTTTTAAATGATCTTTTTCAACATCGGGTTGTTAGTGTTTTCTTGAAGGAAGTAGTTTTCCTGTGAGTTCTCTAAAGGAGGATTTTGATAATGTGTACCAGTTTTTTGGTGAGGTCCAAACGGGAGTCTTTGTGTTCTTGTGTGAGCCTCCAGGGGCTTGCCAGCTCCATCATGTTGTGTGAGGACATGCATGGGCCTTTGTGTGCATGTGTCATTGCACTCAAGTGTTTGCGTGTGTGCACTGACGTGTGTCACTTAATCTTTACTGTTTTATATTTACTACGTCAGGCAACAAATGAATCATCTTTATTACGGAGAAATTTAATTTGGATGAACTTAACTGCTGCCGCCAAGGTCAGATGGGCAGAATGTCATTTTAATCCAATCAACTTTAATCTGTTGGTTATAAAAGAGTTAGGCTGTTGAAGAATGGCTGTATCTCAGGCCCTTTATTACACTGGCTAATGACTTTGATTGTGAGGTGCCTATCAAGAGGTTAGGAGTTCTTATGGAGCTTCACATCCTGCTAATTCTCTACCTCGTGCCTCTTTGGGCTCAGCTAACCCTACAATCACTGTTCCCTGTTTCCAAGAAAGAGTTTTATTGAAAAAATAAAAAAGGTATAAAGTCAATGTTCAATTTATGGCTTGTTTTGTTTGAGCACAAATGGAAGGACTTACTCAGTAGCTAGAATATAGTATCTTAATGCCATCTCTTTTCTATCCATTTGTATTCAGACCAGGGATATTTCACTATAGCGTCTGGATGAATACTATAGGAAAGTGGAATTTCTCTACTTTCCTATTAAGATGTCTACTTTTGAATTAGTTACATAAAGTGCCTATATAAAGGACAGCAGTTAATAGACTAAGATTGAGTTTAGTGTTACATTCAGAAATCACAATGAGATGCAAGGTCTTTTTTCCCCGAGGAGATATTCTTTTGTGATAAAAAGAATATTGCTAAGATCTTAAGCTGCTTTTCTTATTGTAGATTCTCACACTAGAGCCACTTGTTAATGTTATGCTTGCTCTGTTGGAGTCTGTGTCAGCTGTGTTGGGAACATCAAGGCCATGTGTCTCTGTGCTCTGCGATGCAACAAATCAATTCACAAATGAGTGTTATACATAATGATGTGTTTCCTTAGAGCCACATCAGTGTCATTGTTGTTTATTAGTGAACCCAGATGCATATAATCTGTTGAAATGCAGTTCATTACAAATGCACTCTTTTGTGACTTGGATTTTTTTAGGTGTCACCTTTGTTTATTTTTTAAATTAGTTTTCGTTTTCCTTTTGTCGATTGCATTTTTAATGGTTGATTGACTATAATCTAACTGGTTATTGTTGTTTTAGATTATTTGTGATTGTTTTTACTATGAGTTTGATTATTTTGTTGATTTGAATTTGCAATACTTTTGTTATTGTTTATATTATAGGCCAGCAGTTTCTATTTGTTCACATGTAGAGCCATTTAACATTTGTTTTGTTTTGACGTTTATGGTGCTATTGAAATGTTTGATTTTAAATAGTTCTTTTTGTGGACCAAAAGTAAAAGATGAACAACCACTTTGTGGATCTGGGGATCTAAATTATAAATACACCCTACCAGAAAGTATTTTAATCACATATGTTCTTTTACTATAATAATTCCTTATCCCCTGTAAGCCATCAGTTTTTATAGTTTCATATATTTAGCCATTTTACTTTATGTCAGTTTTATTGACATTGTTTGATTTTAAGTCAGGTTTTTTCTTCCTGTTATTTCTCTCATTTCTCTCTACCTTCACTTTTTCATAGAAACTGATGTTGGAGTGTGACCTAAAGCTTTTTCAACAGAGTCATTCCCATTCGGACGAGGAGTACGTTCACCAACTAAAACACCATCAGCAGCTACAGAAGGTGAGGTCACACATGTTACTGTACACGCATTACAGAGGTGCATATTTTTAACCACAAGAATATATCCAGTTAAAGTAGTTGGATATGAAATGCCCTTTGTCTCATGTAGATACATATGAAAACAGAGTTTGACATAAAGTGAGTTTCAGATTTACATGAAAGAAAATGAAGCTACATTCCAGCAACCACTTGTTTCATTCTTTGTGTTTTACAGCGCTGCACGGAGCAGGTTGAGAGCCTTGCGCGGTGTGAAAAGGCTATTCTTCAGATGAAGTCAGAGCTAGAGAGACAGTAATAACTGAGTCTATAAAACTCTCATTCTCCTCTGCTGATCTCCCTTCCTGTCCTTGTCTCTCCTCTCATGCCCTTCCCATCTGCCTCCTCCTCCCCTCTCTCATTCTCTTAACAGTCTGCTTGCCAAATGGTGCACAGTAGCACACTATATGTCACATGGACAATTTAACATAATCTAGTCAAATCATTTTCTTTTAATTTAGCTAATCTGTTATCTGGTTACATTTTGTCTTATTGCAGACATGTTGCTCTTTCACTGCTGCTTTGCATTCCTTACAAGGCAGTCATTCTTTGCTCTTCTCCCCAAAGAGCTCAGGATAAAGTCTGTCTGAAGAGAAGTCTTCTCGCGTCCCACCATACGCACGTGATCGATCGCAGCCAGCTGGAACAGGAAGCGATTCATCTGAAAAATGAAGTGACACGCGTAGAGCTTGAGCTGGCTGACACTCAAAAGGTATTCATGTCAAGTATGATATGTATTTTGACCTGACATAGCCTCTTGTAATCTGAACTTTTTTCCCCCTTTGCTATTGTGTTACGAACCCTATCCACAGTTTTAAATGGTTGGCATCTCAGGCTAGGAACACAAGCTGGAGATTCAGTTCAAGTTCCCAAAGAGGAAGTACTCAACCCACCTTCACGGGCTCCACACACCCACCACTCATGTGATTGTCCCGTGATAGCCTGGCAAACAAATTGCTTCGCCATTAATTAAAGCACCAAATGTGCCAAGGCTGGTGAAATTGACTCCAATTAAGAGCTCAATGGGACACTAAATATTCAAATTACTCAAAGTGGTGACTGTAGCCTGGCAGAGTGCCAACATTGCTGGCAGTCATAGTCACATCACTGTGTGTGTGTGTGTGTGTGTGTGTGTGTGTGTGTGTGTGTGTGTGTGTGTGTGTGTGTGTGTGTGTGTGTGTGTGTGTGTGTGTGTGTGTGTGTGTGTGTGTGTGTGTGTGTGTGTGTGTGTGTGTGTGTGTGTGTGTGTGTGTGTGTGTGTGTGTGTGTGTGTGTGTGTGTGTGTGTGTGTGTGTGTGTGTGTGTGTGTGTGTGTGTGTGGTCTTGATGCGTAGGTGCAAGTGGGAACATTTGATTTTACACATTAATTATGCGTCCTCTGGCACATACAAGTGATAGACATATCATGCTTACAAAATCATATGCATGCACACACATTAATTCTCACACACACACACCCATTAGCAATTGTGAATATTTTCCTCTTGCTGTTAGGTGGTGGTCATTTATCCAGCCCTAATAGCTGAGACACATCACAATGACTGTCGTGGGAGGATACATGTAAAGGCTAGAAGAACTTGTTAAAATGTATTAAATAAAGTTAGGACTTTAATTTCTATGAACTATTGTAACTTTGTACATTTAATTACTTTTCTAAAAAAGCAAAATAAAGCAAAAAAGTCCCTAAAAACATACATTTAAACCAGTCAGTGTAAACTTCTCAACAGTGATTTAGAAGACTTAAGAAGATGGAACAGAATACCTTTTATATTCGATATATAAGCTTTTTAACCAAGATATGTTCACATATAACCCAAACACAACTACATTTAAATAGTACACAATGCCATTACATGCAACTAGCTACATGTTACTTTCAATACATACATTATTTGTTTAAACTCAGGAGCACCTCTTCATACCGTACAGTATGTGGTGTTGGAACATACGTGTACGAAGAACTCCTGTGAAGGACTTCTGAAGCTTTCAAAGTTCACTACAGCATGACCCTTCCAAGCACAATTGATTTGCCAAAAGGCTTGCATATTATTTTAAAGTAAGCATCTGCTACCAAATGTCCACCACCTTCTCTAGCTCTATGATCAAGGTGAAAACGTAATTTGTATTTTAAAGTTTCACTCAAGGTTGCCCATGGATAACAGCAGATGTAAGTATGGAAGGAAAAATCTAATAATAAGTCGCCACTCAATTCACATTTTCGGCTCCTTTTATGTCAAGTGTGAAGTGCCTCCTAGACAAAATCCAGCGAGATGCTTGATCTGAACAGGGCCACAAAAGCTGCTTGAGTGTGTGCTTAAAAACTCAGTCACTTATTCACTACTCCTCTTGGTCCTTTACTCCCGCTGCAGGTACATGTGGCACTTCTCAGACAGTCAGAGGAGGAGCTGAAGGAGGCCAGACGAGAGGTGGAGGTTCAGAGAGAGGAGACGCAGAGGCTTCAGGAGGAGATACTGAAGGAGGAGGAGAAGAGGAGGAGCGCCATCAGAGAGAAACAGAGTCTGAGCGCTTGTGTCAGACAGTTGAGCCGAGAAATGGAGGAGCTACGCAGCAAGCAGCAAGTGACAGGTAGCAATCAGGGAATGCAAATATCATGTATCCACCCATCTGTCTGTTTATCCAACAACAAATAACATACTCTTAAAGTGTAGATGCATATAGAGAGATTTTGACAACACATTCTGTGACCCTATAATGCATTATATATAGCTTATTTGTTGTTATAATTTGCTTATAGCACTCTAAAATAATACTTTAAACCCATCATTCATATTTATAATGCTCTATAACAACAATCTTGGCACATCCTTAAGCATTTTATAATAACATATACTGTACAATGAGCCCTGCCTTTTGTTTTGAACCAGCTCCACTGCTGTTAGCTCGATCTGTTAGCTCAAATTAGCCAGCAGTGGTGCAGCAGTGTGGCGATTCAGTTCCTGTGTGTCTGCACGCAATGTTATCTCAAACACACACACACACACACACACACACACACACACACACACACACACACACACACACACACACACACACACACACACACACACACACACCAGGAGATAGAGGTTTGATTTAATGGCACACTGCTTTAGCGGTATGGTAATGTTCTTGGTTTATGTGTGCATGTGTGTGCGATGGTGGCCTTTGTAGTAGTGTGTCAGTGCAGGAATGGTGATGGCTGGGTCTCACTGGGCACAGAAATGTCTCATTAAGAATTAACGTACACATCCACGGTCACGCCAGGCAAACACCTCGCATACAAACACACAGGGTCATTTCTCCCAACTCCCCCTGCTTTAATTAGCAGATACACACTGGCTCTCGGAGGTACAAACACACACACATTCACCTATTGTCCGCAGAGAGATGAATCTGAGGTCTCTCTCTGTGGCAGACAGTGGCGGGCTTGCTCGCTGAACACTGCTCATTAACAAGATAGAGACAGAAGGACAACGCTGTGTGGCTCGGCCTTTGTCTGTGATCAAAAACCCTCAACTCCACGCTCCACACAGAACCACATATTATTCAGCTTTTACCTCCAGAAAATACAATCCAGCTATGTAAAGCCCATTGTAATGACTTATGAAGAATAAAGATTATTATTATAACAAAGGGGGAATTGTTTACCTTGATATAGCTGCAGCCTGAATGGACTGGGTGAGGAGTCAGCTTGAGAAATGACTGTTGTGAACAAAAGGCCTTTTTATTAACATGAAGCCCTTGTCCAGGCTCTTTATTTGCATTGTGAAAAAGGCTCCTTGAGTGGTGATGATTCTTTGTGTTGCTTGATAACAGTAGATATAGTTTAGGGTGTGGAAGAGTATGAAAATAAACCGGTTCAAATGCAGATTATATGGTCAACAACTAAGAGGTATACATTAAGAATAATGAGATAAATAACAAGTGAATTTCCATCAAAACCACAATTTACTTAGTTTCAATATTTTATGTTCTGTTAAAAGGGACAAATAATTGGATTTCCATTATATGTGTGCCTCTTCTTCTTCGCAAGACAGTACAATTACAGAGTATAATATTTAACTGCCGGAATGATTACCAAATTGATGTTTTTTGATGGCATTTTCACTTGTAAAGTTGTTTGCTGCTGGGAAACGGCTGACATGTTGCATGAATGCTACAGTAAACTGGGCGTAAACATAACTGTAGCTGGGAAAATGATGGATATTATATTAAAAGGTCTCTGTGGCCGGATGGAGGGAATGTCAAAGGAGGAAAGAAACAGAGGATAGGAGGAGGAGTGTCATGTGGATGATTGAAGCGGCTGAAGGCAGCTGGATTCAATCAGACTGTGGCAGGAGAGACGGGGAAGGAGAAGAGGGTGATTAAAAAGGAGAGGAACGAAAGTCTTTAAAAGTGGCATATGACTGTATGTGTCAAATTCAATGTCACTCGCATTTTCTGTATGACTCTTATTTTACTAGATATTCCCTTTCTTAAAAATAGTAACACTTTTTAAACTACACATGGAGCAAGAGAAAGCCAGTGTACAGTTCATATATTGATGTAGACGGTGTAACATTTACAGTATATATATATACTTAATTTGACGTGAATTAAAACTGATATGTGGCATCATTCTGAAAAGTAAGACTCCGTACCGGCAACACGTTTTATATATGAGGTTACGTAACATATCAGATTCAGATGAAACTGCATGTAGTGTATTCTAAATGGCTGCTAAATTGTTTTCTTTAGCACCTACCTATGAAATTCAAGCAGGGATGGATGTTTGAAATATTCAAATATGACTCATGGTGTCATCTTGCATGTTAAATAAGATGCGTTGTTAGGTTGGCCGTAATGTGATATAAATGTGATGCTCCTTGACAACAAATGAAATAACAGCATAAACAAAAACACAATATCCATATTTCCACACTTCCACAAAAACAGAAATGCGATATTACCACCCCTCTGTGCTGCTGATGTGCATCTGCCTAAAGATGATGAAATCATTATCGTGCATGTGTGTGCGTATGCGTGCGTGCATGTGTGTGTGCTGCTGGATCCCCGGACGCACACGTGCACAGGCCTCTCTCCTCCAATTCACCTCTATTACTAGCTATAATCCCATTTCACACTCTATCGATCCCCAAAACTGTTGTTCACCGGAACCAGCAGCAAACACTGGCATTTCTCCCCATCATTTCACCACCATTGTTCTTTATTACACAAAGAAGCCCCCCTTTGTCTCAGAGCAAACTCAGCCCCGCTGTAATATGAATTATAAATGTATGGCTAATAAAAGAGAAGAGGGGGGGAGAGAGAAAAGGAGAGAAGGGGAGAGAGATGGCGATGGAGAGAAGTGGTTGGTAGAAACATCAGAGAAAATGACTCCTTTACAAGAGTCTATTGATCAGTTTCTATCAAAGGGGGATGTCAGACATGAGATTACCTGGCAGTTTGAGCATTAGGTGCCGTGTGTTATAGCCCCGGGCCCTTGTACCGCTGCCAGAGGATTGTAAATAAAGCGGAGAGCAGAGAGCAAGAGGGGAGTGTGTTGGGGTGCATGTGTGTGTGAGTTTTAGATTCTACTTGTGTGTTACTCTTTGTCTTCGTGAGTGTTTTTTTTCTTCTTCTCGTGGTGTATTTGAGTGCATGACGGTGTGCGGCTGCACCTTTTGGCTTTTACCCAACAGCAGTGTTGCAAGCCCGTGAAACTTCAGAAAGAGAGCGGGAGAGTCTTGGGATGCTTTGGGACGTCTCCCGAGAGCACCTTAGCCCGCTACGAATCCCCCAACAAAGCCAAAGGAAGCCCCTATGAAGCCTTATGAAGCTTTTATGAGGGCCGGGCAGGGCCCGACCACTGATTCAGGGTGAGCCGGGTTTTCGTCCCTCTCATGTTAAAGGTTAGCCGTGAGAGCGGGGTAATCTGACCGCAGATCTGTGATTATAAACCGACACTATATGACGGACTTTGAAGCGCGTTTGAAGGCATTGAGAGATCGAGAGAGAGTTAGATAAGAACTAATGTCAGACCTTAAGTTGTGAAGCCAGAATAAAAAGGTCAAGAAAGTGAGAGACCCAAGATCTTCGATTGTGGACTAATGTCATAACTTAACTCTGAAGCCAGATGTAAAAAGACCCCGGGCCTCACAGTATGGACTATCTCAAGCTATTAAGGAGAATTGATTGTTGAGAAATCCTCGGCGGATCCTGGTTTAACGTTGGCAGTATTTTATCATCAAAATAAGCTCAATATACCACACATCTTATCTATTTGTCTGTGTTTCCTGCTTTCTACTTTTGTTTGTTTTCATATTTCTAGATTTCTTTATAAGGAAAGCTGTTTGTCTTTTCACTTAATATTTCGTGTGGGTTTCATCGGTGTGTGTATCTCTGCCTGTTGTGTGTGTTTTGGTGCAAATAGGAGCGTTTGTGTAAACGGTCAGTCTTTGCAGCTAATTGCTCTCTCTGTGGCCTCCCCTGGCGGGAAGTGTCACTGAGGTCACCTCAAAACTAATGCCTTGAATGCGAATTTGATCCCACCTCAAGTTTTCACATCTCTCCTTTTATTGATTATTGAGATTCATAACAAACTTTCACCTTGAGATTCAGGGAAATAGCCAAGGCAGGCACACACACAAATAAAAGTGTCTGTGTATCGTTAAATATTTAGCAGTTTCAATTTTCTGAGGGCTTTATTTTAAACAGTTTGGATGCTGCACAACCATAAATTAATCATAGTTTTATTAAATTTTGATTTTATGTTCTCTGTTTCCTCGTTTCTAGTATTGGTTTTAGCTTCCCCCTTATTCTGTCTATCCCACCATCACAGGGTGCGGCGCTAAAAGCATTACAGAAATACACTTAACATTTCTCTATTTCTATTTCACACAATCAAACACACAGGCTCACCCACAAAGTCAAGGTCCGTCCTGTAAATATTCAACACACACACCTCTACATATTCAGCGCGCACACCTCCTCAATATTCACTAGCCTTGGCCAGCGATGGCTGACAGTTTATGTTATATTCAATGAATACTGAATTTAGTGAAAAGGTTTTAAGAGCGATGAAGAAACATTGACTCACAAAACAGCACGCAGAACAAAAAAAAAGAGGAAATCCTACATTTTAAATTCAAACTGAGAAGGGTCTGAGAAAGCAAACCCAAGCAAGGAGCCGGACTGTCAGTTTATTATGCATCTGCTCAATGCGCTAAACTACTAAGTGTAGGACAATGGGGTTTTATTGCATGTAGACTGAGGAAAGGCTGAAAAGGGAATGTGATTGAAGGGACGCAGTCAGGAGTGGGAGCTCCAGTGGTTTGCTCAAGGTAAAGAGTGCCATCTATTGACCGAGTCAGGGAGCGCTCCTTTTGTCTACCACCAAAAGGGCTGCTGTCTTGTCTAAGAGCAAGCAGTGCAACACTTTCTGCCTCTGAAAAGCGTCTAGTGACTCTGTGGCGGATTTCGTTTGGCTTTGAAGGCTCACATTTTCCCTCTCATGCTGACGAGAATAAATATCCCCTCTGTATAGTATGCATGTTTTGTAAATCATCATATTCACCTTGGTGTGCTGGAGAATGTCAAGTACTATCTATACTCATGTTACATATTTCTTTCTTTTCATACAATTAAAACAACCTCAAGCGCTATCTGACATATTTCAAATGTATTTTTGTCATATGGCCATTTAAATGAAACCTTCTCTCTAATGAATGCAGAATTAGAGCCACTGATGTGAACTGTTGCTCTTTATCTCACACTTTTCTGTCTGTCCTCTCTCTCTCCTGCTCAGAGGAGGAGTTGGCAGCCCGTGCAGAGGAGGCGAGGCGGATGGAGGGGTGCCTGAATGAGGGAAAGCTAGCAGAGGGGAAAATAAGGTAAGAAGGGAAAAGAGGGGGAGAGCAGGAGCTTCCTCTGTTATCCCATTTCCCATCGTCCCTTGTGTAAGCACAGTAATCAAAAACATTTAGTTTTGTATTAGTGCGTTGCACAGTAGGCTGTACATGTGTTAAACAGAACGGCCCTAAGCTCTAAATACTGTTTAAGAGAGTCAAAAAAGTTTTGTTCTATCCAAGGATTTAGATATCCCAAAGCAAAAAAAAATGGTTCTGTTCCTGAGTTAATCTAACAAAATGTGTATCGATGGGACACGGTAGGTAAGCAGATGTTAGGTCGTGGAGTTCAGAGTTCAGAGGCGAGACCCCCGGTTGACCCCTGTGTGTTACAAGAGCTGCGGTGATGACATCAGCACGCATGTATCACCCAGTAGAGTGTGTGTTTGTGTGTGTCTGTTTGTGCGCATAGTTGTGGTTGTGGCTTTGGCTTCGACATGACCTCACTGCAACGGTCGCCGTCTTTGGGAGTTTCTTGTGGAGCAGTTTTTATCGTCAAAACTCTGTAGGAGACTTTATAGGTTACTTTCTGAATTATTGCATTTTATTACCAATTTGAGGTGGTGAATGGGAAAACAATAGCTGTTTTCTGCACATTATATATCCATTTGCAGAATCATGCTGTTTACCGTTAACCCGGTATTATCTAATAACTGCAAAGACATGAAAGGTTTTTAAGCAACAACACCATACTAATGGCTTCCATCTGTGCTGTGGGAAATCCCCTCCTTTCTCCACAGGATGCCTCCTCTCTTTCTTCCCTTTCTCTCTCCCTCGCTGTTCATCCTATCATGTGTTCTCTCCACGGACCAATCCATCACGCATTCTCTTTCCTTTTTGTTTTGGCCGCTCTGCTTCAGCTTTTACTACCCCTGAGTTACTCTGTTTCTATCAGTTTAAGTTCAGTGCTGCAACATTATTATCCTGTCTGTTGAGACACGGACGGAAAGTCAACTCGTGAATTTGTTTATATATTCTTTTATTAATCATTTAAAAAGATAATATATTGAAATGTTCGAGATGTTGATGGGTGTCCCTCACAGCTGGCAAAATGGACTTTCTCGTATCATTTTATGATGAAAACAGTACTTTGAGGATGTTTATTTGAGAATAGCTTTTGTCCACTTTCCAATAAAAGTAATTTTCATTTGAGCTGAAATTATCTGTTTATTATATAATTCTGTATATTATAAATTGAGTGCCTTAAATGATTGGTCTCTGAAGTGGGCAAAACATTTCATTCAAACAAATAACTTTTTTTAAATGACAGATAATTTTCACGCTTTTTTGACAAATAAATGAATGGATCAATTGATTAACAGAGGGAACAAACGGTAGGTACATCAATAATACAATCATGATAGTTGCTACCTTAAAAGTTGAATCTTTCAACTGAAAAATAAATAAATGATAGAGACAGGGGTAGATATTGTTCATGTTTTTGTATTTTATTATGTGTCAATTTAACACAAATTCCAATCAAAACGAAATGAAACGCTGACTTTGTGGTCTTTCCCTGCATAGTCATTCTTGCTTTAACTGTAAAATCTATAAAGTATCAACCGTCCCAAAACTTTCTCTTCTACTAGGCCCAAATCTTTTTTTACTATTAATAAACTTGTAGGCTTCTACATTTGCTTTCAGAGGTGTGGGTCAAGAGAGGGGGCGGTTTGTTTTGGTGCGTGTGTTTGTGTGTGAGTGAATGTTGGCGTGGGTGTTGAGGCTCGCTGAGCGGCCGGAGCGAGGCTATGGAGGGAGGTTTGTGGAAATGGTAATCATTTGTCGTATTGATCTCGCTGTAGCCAGGGCAGCTGGCACACATACAAACTGGCTCGCACACATGTACGTACACACACACACACACACACACACACACACACACACTTGCAGACACTAACTGACTCACATACACACATACGCACAGTTGCGTGGCAGGAATAGACCCCCTCATATTGATCCCCTTCACATTCCCTTAGCTCGGCTGCCACACACACTCATACACACACGCACACACACACACACACACACACACACACACACACACACACACGCACACTCACACTTTCTGGGCCTAAGTTAAACACTCCTACATATCTGGATTTTTTTTAAAAAACTTATATTTTTAAATCCATAAGTGTTGAGGATTAGTTTTTTGTTATAAATAATCCAAAAAGTGAAAATATATTCAATGATTATTATTATTAAACCTACTTTTAGGATACATTTGAAAAACTAAATGAGATCTATTCTACAATTTACATATTTATTTTTAAATGTATTATCAGTTTATTAAAAATGTACATCTTTGTTAAGTTAATGTTAGTTCAGTTTATTAAGTAAGATGAACTTTATAATATTGCTAATCTAATACAATTACGTGTAAAGAGGTAACAAAGTAAATGAAATGAAAGTTTACATTTCCTTTCTTTTAGCATATATTTGAGCAGATGTTTTGTGTGTGTGCAGGTCTGTGGCTGTGAGGCTGGAGTCTGAGGTTTTGGAGCTCAAGAGGAATCTTCAGCAGGCTGTCGATCACAAACTGGAGGCAGAGCGGGAGAAGCAGGAAGCGCAAGAACAGGTAAATAAATACACACCTGAGTGACATCGCTCCGCAAATAATTCACAGTGTTTAATCTCTCTTGGCAAAGTGTCAATTAAAGCATTGAGATACTGTCAATAATCACAGAAAGGTTTCCCAATGTTACCACTAAATATTATTTAAATGTAATCCTTCTGCCAGTTAGTGCACTAGTTTCTGTAGCTGCCCTTTTTGTACTTTAGGTCAAAATAAGTCAGCTAGTATACTACACCAACACAGATTTGTTAAGGTTTCCTCTCCTCCCATGCCCTCCAAGGTCTTCCTCTCCTCTCCTCCTCTTCTCTCTCCCTACACCCCCACCCTTACCTTTTTGATGATTAGTGGCATATATCCGGTGCTAGAGCCCGGATTATCTTGTCCAAGAGAAGGAGGGGTGCATGCGGGACCTAAACCTGGCAAGGTGATTTGGAGCGTTAATTCCTGGGTGTAATATTCCCTGATATTCCCTAATGTTCTGGCTGGGAGCGGAGGAGGGGGGGGGTCTCGGGGGAGAGCGGTTGTCAGAGCTGAGCCGCCGCCGTACAAAGGCAGAATGGATAATTAAGGGTAAAGCCAGGACAGGGAACTGATGTTCATTTAGATTCGACAAACTTTGAATTCCTTCTTAAGCTGCCGTGCACAGCGATGCTCTCTCGGATCCTGATTTTGCATTTTGTTCAAATTCTTCTTAAAGTTTCTTCCTCTGTCTCTCACTCTTTCTTTCACACATGTCTTCCTCTCTCTCCGTTTCTTTCTCTCGTTCTTCCTCACCTTACTCTTTTTTTCACCCTGTCCTTGTGAATAATGCAGCCCACATAGTGTGGCTCTGCTTTTTTCTCTTAACATTCGTGCACCAGGGTTTGACAATAGTGATAGCCCAAGGCCAGTGAGACTCTGACTTAGGACGGCTGATTGGTCGGTCAGTAGCCAGTGTAGAGAAAGGCCTTTCATCTCTGCCTTTTCTGTGCGACTGGCCATCTTTTTTTTATTGTACAATTTCTGATTAAACATACATTCTATGGATTAAATATATAGCAGCACATTTCACAGGTTTGTAAAGTCTTGCATGAAGAGAACATGGCAATGGCTACCTGTGTTTGAACTCTCAAACATAAAGTCAAACTCTGTTTCTTCTGTGTAGAGGCTAACGGCTTCCCTGGGCTGAAATTAGGCTGGTTACACTTTTCATGGAGTTAAATATTCTTTCTGATATATCACAATGTGGCAAACATATATTGTATACAATTCTTGATGTTGAATACCATGATTTTCAATGGAGACTTGACTTCAGACTAAGCCAGGCTGACTGATTTCTGACTACTTTTAAATCAAGGCTGAAGACTTTTCTTTTTGTCGCTGCTTTTAATTGAACTATTCATATCTTAGACTGCACTGAAACTTTTATCCATGTACTTTTTTCTTTTAATGTTTAATTGACAGCACTGTAACTTTTATCCATGTATTTTTTCTTTTAATGTTTATTTTATTAGCTTTTCTTTTTAATGACTGATTTTAAATGCCATTTTCTTAATCTCTTTCATTTTTTGTAAAGCACTTTGAATTGCCTTGTGTTGAAAAGTGCTATATAAATAAACTTGCCTTGCCTTCATGCAAAGCTAAGCTAACAGGATGACTTCATAATTATATCTAACAGACAAAAAATGAGTGTTATCGATCTTCTGATATCACTTTTGGCATGATTGGAAATAAGCTAATTTCCTAAAATGTCAAATTATTCCTTAATAATAAAGTCGCTAATACGACATGCTGTGCCTCCAACAGCCGGCAACATATAGTCTCTATAAGGGTGAAGCAGACAGTGCCACTCTCCATCGGGTAGTTTTTACGCAGAGCTCAGAAAGATATCCATGTCAGTTGTAGGCTTTCACTCTGGCAGATGGTCATTATTTTGGAAAAACCTCTGTTGATTTTTTAGTACATATACTTTTCTTTCAATTGCGGAACGTAACTGAGTAATGTATTCAACTACTTTTTTGACATATTGTTGCTGCTTCCATTAATTCCATTTCATGCTAATTTATACGTCTACCACACTACGTTTCAGAGTCAAATGTACTTTTTACTCCACTACATTTATTAACCCTCGTTTTTAATGATATCCTAAAATAATATAATGTGGCACTCAACGCAGTAATCAACCTGGTATTTCAAAAGTAACTAATATTGGCTCAACATTGACAAAGTACAACATTACAATTGTGTTACATGTAAGTGATAAAAACAGGTCAATAGAATAAAATAATATTTTAAAAAGTCCTTCTTCTTTTACTTTTCAAACTGCTGTTAAAATCATTATATTGATCTGTTTAAATCCATAAAACATTTGTATTACATTCCTTGAGTTGTAATTGACTTATCTGCATGTTATATGCATTCGTACACACAATCCAACATCTCCCCTCGTTGCATTCTCGCCATCTTCCATCATGTCAACAACAGATGAGCTTTTCAATGAATTTGACTCCAGACAGTGTTTAAACATCAGCGTGAAGGCCATTCTGACTATGACTTCTTCATTAGGTCCCAATCTGTGTTATTGAGCAGCAGAAGATGAATTATCTGGCGGTGAAAAAAATCAAAGGGTTTGAAATGGTAAATGGTACACTACAGTGGCCTATAGAGGGAAATCTATATTACAAATTGCCTCGGTGCACAGTAGCTGAACCTCAGATAGCTCTGTCTTTCTCTGTGTGCATGTCTTTGTATACACAGTGTGTGTGTGTGTGTGTGTGTGTGTGTGTGTGTGTGTGTGTGTGTGTGTGTGTGTCATCCTTGTTTGTGTTTTCCGGCTCTGTTTATGCATTTTCATTTTATGTTTCTCTTCTGATATGAAGAAAGGGATTTGCATGTTATCTGCCACTCATTTCTTGCTTGTGTGTGAGGCCTTTCAGCATGCAAAAAAACACACACACACTCGATCATGTCCTTCTGCATGAGTCCAGTTCAGATACGAGCTGTGGTAAACATGAGGCATGTTTTTGTGACTGATCAGACCCACCTCTCTCCTTTCCAACCTCTTTTCTTTCTCTCTGCCAGACTGCCACACACACACACACACACACACACACACACACACACACACACACACACACACACACACACACACACACACACACACACACACACACACACACACACAATCACAGTCATTAGTGTGTTTACCTCAACTTCTTAAGCATGGAGCAAAAGGTTTCAAACAGTCTTAATGAGAATTCGCAAAATAGTTTTCAGATTGCAAAAGTTTATGAGAATGTCTACTCAAACTTTTACTACTATTGAAGTCACCCTACAGAAATACCATTAGCAGTAGCTTTTAATCATTTCGAGTCAACAGGGTGCCTCGAGATAAAAGCTGCTTAAATATCTTTCAGAAAGGAAACAAGACGCTGTTTTAATCTTCACAGCATTTTCACATCGGAGTAAAAGTTGATTTGCTACAGTTTTTTTTACATTTTATTCACCCTTACAGCTATGATTTAGCTTCTGAATGTTGCCATTATCTAATCAAACACTATAAGGGTCTGATTTTATTTGAAATGTGGCTGAACTCTTACCAACACAAGTGTGTAGTGTTTTATCTGATCTGATGAAGTCGCTGGAACTTTCGTATCTGTTCATTAATCTCACACATTATACCTGACCTAGCCTAATTAGTTTCAAATTACCTTCTAGATCACACCTTTTAAGACACACACACACACACACACACACACACACACACACACACACACACACACACACACACACACACACACACACGCTGCACTGATGATTGAGATGAAGACACATTAAGCTCATTTGATTAGTTGATGAATACAAATAAGTGGTTCAGTTATACCATTATAAGTTTAACCATGGAATGGCCTTCGTATTTGTTCGGTGTGTGTGTGCATGTGTGTCCTTGTGTCCCATCACACACAGCTCCTTTAGCTATGCTCTTGTCATTCAACTGAAGGCATGAGACGGACAATGAGCAGACGCCGACCGCTATTTTTCTCAACGTCAACTCCATAGCTCTGTGTCCCTCTTAGCTGTCAAGCTGTCCTTCTTCACCTGAAGAAGGCCGTAGGTCTGTTTTCTCTGTGAATGGGTAAAACTTCAAAGTTACTGTGTAAAGTTCATTAGATGTATTTAAGACATGATGCTTCAAAGTTAGCAAGAGGAAGAAAGAAAAAGTTAATTAGGCCTATTGGTATTAAATAGGTACCTTGTTCTTAGGTCACATTTAGCTAAGTTTTATTAATTGTAGTTTTAATGTAAAATCTTGGATTAGTGAAACCTTTTGTTCTTCAGGTGCTGAAAAACTGTATTTACCATGTTTTTTTTTAGAAAGAAACCAAGGGTAAATCATATCCGTTGTTCAAAGTTCAGACTCCTTGCTTTTATACATGTTTATCTGTTTACTTTTTACCTTGCTCAAGGAAACGTATAAGGGAAAATCAGTCTCTGCAAACCACACTAGAGACTCATCCAACAGCTCCTTATTTAACTGTAAGTAATTGTTATAATTGTAATTATTCAAGGCTAACATTTCATCATCTCATCTTAGCTGCAAGTTTTACTCTTTTAAAAGTCCTCTTCACACACTCCAAAGAAGCTCTGTAGCACTGGTCTATTCAAACTTCATCTCAGTCTTTGAGCAAACGATGAAGACTAACATTATTGATATGATTTGATATTATGGACAAATGGAAACCTAGCAAAGTCAAGACAACTTTCTTTTCCTTTTGTGTGAGATGTTATCAAGTAGATATTCATGTTATACAACACGTCATGTAATGTCAACTTCCTAAGAATATCTGTGTATTCAGAAATAGTTTCATACAAATCAATTATCTTGCAGAAAGTCACTTTTTATAAATGAATGCCACCCGTCACTATATATTATTTTAGTTTTGAAATAATAACAGGGCTGGCAGTTGTTTGTTGCTTGCCTTTGCTCTTGACAAAAAAATACAGCAACATTAATAAAACTAAAATGGTTCTTTGCTTGGTACTGTTGCAGGCCGGTCACTTAAGTCTTCAGTCTTCTAATTTTCCTTGATATATTAAAATGATCCCTAGTAAGATGTGGGAACTTCATCTAGCTGGGAAGTGTCTGATGAACTTTTACCGAGCCTGGTAATGTAGTTCTGCTCATGCAGGCTAGATGCATAGATAGGGGACTTGAATAATGTCTGCCACTGATAAACAACCCAGCAGCATGCGTAGAAGAGTGTGTGATGAAAGGACTCGGGGAGAAGAGCGAGGCCATGCGGCAGCAGACGAGGGTAATTAAAGAAGCTATCATCAGCATCATTAATATGCTAGAGCTGCTGTGGCCCACTGACTAGTCTAATGGAGAACATGTCATCATCGTCACCATTAGGGAGAGTGGGACACACACAAACACACGCACACGCAGTCTTAATGTTGGGTCATGCCATGATTATCACCATTAAGCCTAGAGTGAGAAGACCTGCTCAGGAAAGCTCATTCTCTCCTACCGTCACACACACACACACACACACACACACACACACACACACACACACACACACACACACACACACACACACACACACACACACACACACACACACACACACACACACACTCACCCTCACACACGCCTGTAGATCTTTAATTCAGACCCTGTGAGTGATAAGTATGCATATTTAAGTGATGTCAGGCCTGTTGGGTCTTTTAATTAGACAGAATGAATGAATGTTTTATAAAAACGTGTTTAACAATAAATGTGTTCATTAATTTGATGAGAGGATGTGCTCTGATGAGCTGAGTGGAACAGAGTAATGGCTCGTATTCAGCTCTGGCGGTTTGATGGTTATGGTAGCAACAAGCAGGCTGTCTGCTTCTGATTAGATCCTCATCTTCATATTCCTCACAGAGAAAAGTTCACTTTGAGTTATGTTTATCCCTTGGACAGCACGGTCTGTTTTAGTGAAAAAGCACTTTTGTCCTGGACAGCTAATGTGAAATGTGATACAAGTCCACAGCTCCATGGAGAATAGAAAAGATGGAAAATCCATTAAGTCTCCACAATTTCTTTCTTTTCTGTCTGCAGGTACGCTTTATGCAATCTTTTTCTGAACTTATAGATCAGAATGAACTTCAAGCCACATCTTGTATCTATTGTGAATACAGAATGTGGGCTGGACTGTGCTTTATTATGATAGAATAAACCATCAAAATGATAAATACTATTGCAGCAGATCAGAAATCCTTCACCAGCTCTGCAGCAGTTAACTCATATTCCCCAGCAGAGGCCCGAAAGAACCAGTGGTATCGCCCAACTTGGTTATAAGTGTGTCCCAAATGCATTTCGTTGCCCCTTTTAGCCCCCATCATCTGCTAAAATATTTGTGCAACAAAACCAATCTAAATGTTAAGCAGGTGTGCTACTTTACTCCTCCCCCCTCGCGTGCAATCGCACCTCCTTTGTCCCCTTTTCTCTAAATGTCCTCACACTCTCCCCCTTTTCCTCACACACCCGTCCACTGCCTCCGTTGACACTGGTAGAAACAGAGTGATGGTGCGTAATTTAGTCCTAATCACAACATCAGACTTGTGGCGCGATTTACATCCCTCCGCCAGTCAGGAGGGAGATGTTAATGTGAGACTAAAGGTAATTACTGTCATTACAGCACACATCCTGCGTGCGTGTGTGCGTGCGTGTGTGTGTGTGTGTGTGTGTGTGTGTGTGTGTGTGTGTGTGTGTGTGTGTGTGTGTGTGTGTGTGTGTGTGTGTGTGTGTGTGTGTGTGTGTGTGTGTGTGTGTGTGTGTGTGTGTGTGTGTGTGTGTGTGTGTGTGTGTGTGTGTGTGTGTGTGTGTGTGTGTGTGTGTGTGTGTGTGTGTGTCACTTTTTGAGTGGTTCAGTTTGATATTTTTGTGTATATAATTAATATTGTAGTATTAGAGTGTGGGTTTGGTCTACAGCAAAATCAGGAAAGAAATCACAACTAATACTTATTCCTATTTGATAAATGCTGTTAACATTTATACCCCGACTCAGTTTTCTCTTCAAAATGTAATAATTTGCTCGATTTAATTTCGTCGTTGCCCCAGTTTTTCTTGATGACTGTATTTGTGGAAAGGTCCTTAACTCGAGTCTTATTAAAAGTATGATTCTTTCTCATGTTGTGAGATGTTAGTCATCAGATACGTGTCTTCTTCATGACTTGCTTTCACATCTCAGGCAGCCTATTCAGTTTGCAATTTGAGTGTCCATTTACTTTTTTGTTGCAGCAAATATTGTTGTTGCTGCAAAAGAACACAAGCTAAAACCTTTGAGTTGTTGCATGA